TATTCCATTTGACAAGACCTTTCTTTGGATACCAACTTATTTGACTTTGGAGTTTGACCTACTTTAACCTTGGCCATAAATTCTGAATGATAGAGGCTAGGGCTTATATATTTCACATGTATATTTCATGTGACTAGATGAAATATATGGAGATAACGAACAGTATTCAAGCTCAAAAGACCATTAAACAATACAAAACAGGAGCAGAGCAAACACGGACCTCCAAACATCAGAGGTGGGATCAGGTGCCATGGAGGAGTGAGCATCTCCTGCCGACCGGTCACACCCGCCGTGTGGTCCCTGCCATGATCGGGAAATAATGGAAAAAAACGTCGACAATTCAGTGTGTAAATAATGGCCTAACAATTATGAAAAACGTCAGTCAGCATTTGACTCAATGATAAATTGTATTTGCTGACAAGATCATTGTATCGACCATAGAACTTACGAAATGATGACTTTAAACGAGACAGCTGATATTCTTATTTCATCAACTTGTTTGCCAAAAATTTACCTCGTTTTAGAAATTGTACATACGTAGAGCATGCTCTTGCGTATCGAATCAACTGAGAGATATATACCCCATATGCAGGTGATGAAGGTATATTGCTGCATAAGTAAGGGAAGTTGACGATTGAAAAGTTAAAGTCATCACGTTTATCGTAAAGCTTGGTTGTTAGATTAACATTAACGTCTTTTTCAAGTAAAATATCCAAATATGAAACAGATGTGTCAGACTCTGTGGTATCTTTATCTCAAGCTCACCAGGATGTATCGTATCGACATAAGTATGGAAATAGCCATTGTTAATTGATAATACGTCGTCGATATATCTAAATGTCGAGTTGAAGGCCACAGCAAGTGTTTTCTTCTTTTCACGTACAAGATTTTGGACAAATTCTGCTTCATATGAATACAAAAAAGGTCTGCTAATAAGGGGGCGCAATTGGTACCCATGGGAATTCCAATAGATTGTTGGAAGACCTGATCTCCCAAAACCACATAGATATTGTCAATCAGAAACTCGAGCATCTTTTTAATGTCAACTTCAGAGTACTTGTGTGTACAATCAGAATGTTTTTTAACAAAATAATTTTGCAAATGTCCAATGACAAGGTAAGTAAATTTACGAGTTCCATTTTTATTGGAAAAGCAGCTGTCAATGATATCAAAAGCCTGGACTTTAATTTATCGTGGGGATGGTTGTGTATAAAGATGAAAAGTCGTATGTTTTTAAACTGTTGATTTTGGTAAAATCTTGTGATTTCAAATTTTCCAAATGTTCCTTGGAATTTTTAAGTATCCACATCGGATTTACACCACTTCTCGAATATATTGTTGCACAGTACTCTTAAAGTTTCTCCTTCACTTTTGTTAGTCTTAGTGAGGAGTAAAGAAAGAGGCTTGGTTGAACATTTACTGGAACCCGCTATGTATCTTTGTTTGTAAGGATTCTTATGTTTCGGAATCCAGTATAAATATTTGGTAATCCAAATTCATTTTGGTTGTTTGGAATATTAAAAATATTCAAAACTGACATATGATTTTGAAGAATTTCTTCCTTAGAAAGGGAACTATGAGTATAAGTTGGATTACCACTTGTAGAATTAAATCCAAGTTCCTCTAAAATACATTTAATATAATGAGCCTTACAAACAAATACAATGTTGTTACCATGTACTCTATCTAATTCTTTTTTCACTTCTGGATTATTGAATACAGAAGGATAGATGGTTCTTTGGGTACCAACATTTTTTACCTTGACCTTGGTGTTTGACCTACTTTTTAAGAACTTTAACCTTGGCCATAAATTCTGAATGGTTGGTGCCAGGTCTTTTTTCTTACTTGTGCATCCTTGTGACAAGACCTTTCTTTGGATGCCAATATTTTTTACTTCATGACCTTGACCTTGGGGTTTGACCTACATATATGCATTCCTTGTGACAAGAACTTTATTTGGGTACCAACATTTTGACCAACTGACCTTGACCTTGGAGTTTGACCCCACATTTGAAAAACTTTTACCTTGGCCTTGAGCTGCAATATGGGGGCATCGGTGTTTCACAAACAAATCATTTTTTTGGCTACTTTATTAAAGAAGTGATGTATATTAGGCCCATTGTTATAATTTTGCTATACATAAAATCATCAATTTACATTGGTGTATAAAACGTTCTTTGGTCAAGATACATTAAGTTGTCAATTGTTTTGTGACAGTTTCGTAGTTCAGACTCTGAGCTCATGTAACAGCATTGAGATTTAATGTTATCTAGTTAAATACGTCCCTAACTTTAGAATGATAAGAAATTCATCTACATGTATACATGTTTTGAAAGTTTTCCAACAAAGCATCTGACACAATGACTAAATATGAAGAAGCACTTACGAATGATGTTTCATCTCACAAGATACTTTCTACTACGGATATGTCTCAAGATTTTCAACTAATCAAAAAGGGTTTGAGAGCGTAACAATGGACTTTTGTCTTTGTAAATATGACTGTACACCAGATAAGTATGAAAGTTTAGTTCAAGGCGTTCTCTGAATGAGCCTTAGTATGACTGTACTATTGCTAGTATTTTATTTTTACAAAAAGTACCACAAACTTATAAGTTCCCTTCTTTTCCTTTTCCATCCTTTAAAAGAAACCTAACAGTCAATTTATAGATGTGGAGTTAAGTTATCAATAACATTTGAAAATTAATTTTGATAAACTGGAAGCTACTGCAAATAGTTAATTCCCAAGAAGCAACAGGACCTTGAGCTGAAAGAATAGCTTATCTTTTTTTGTATTCTGTATTTTAGTAATTTAGTATACCGGTATGTCTTACATATCTAAAACAGTTCTGTCATTAGATTTCTTGTGATTTTGCTGCACAAATTTCACTGTGAATATGTCACACACTTTTCAGGAGAAACTATAACGACAAAAAACTCTTTTGGAAAAAAAATCTTACAATTGATACTTTAAAATTTACGATTTAACGGAAGGTCTTCATTTTAATAATTAACTGTAGCAATATCGAAAGGTGTGGCTTACTCCATTACTGCACATGACGTCGTAAAAACGCTTCATGTGTACATTTTTCGGCTACGGGAAAAGCAATTGGGACGTCACATGAAAACTGTATTGACTTTGACATGTTTTTATGTACTAAAACTGACCTTGTAATCAAAGTATAATATAGAATTATATAGAATATTTATTTTCAATCTAGAACCCAAATGGACATATATGAAATGATAACAATAATAAGACTAGCGTGTTCCAAGGAACGCATGTGTCGCCTGCTTTGTAACTTCATTAAAGATGTATATGTAAATGTTAGCTATTCATTTACTACTGGCATGGTGGTTCATGCAGAAAAAAAGCATCCACGGATAGTAGAGGATTGCGATAGACTCTGACAATCAAAGAAAATATGATTCCCAAACCTCAATTGAATAATTAAATTGAAATTATAATTATAATTATTTATCATTTTACATGGTCGCCCGCGTGGCGCAGTGGTTAGAGCGTTTGCTCTAGAGTCGCGGAGTAAGGAGCTGATCCTTACGTCGCGGTTTCGAATCCACTGCGGGACGCGGAGACCGGTCCTTCGGAAGAGACCGTATAAACCGAGGGCTCGTGTCGCAGTAAGTGTTGGCACGGAAAAGATCCCTCACTGCTCAATAGCCCTTAGTGTCGAGTATAGGTATAAATTTGCAGCCCTCCAGCGGCAAGTGGTGGCGTCTCCAAATGAGTGAACGATTCTCGAGAGGGACGTTTAACAACAAACAAACATTTTTCATATATATAAATACGTGTTTCAAAGTCTTTACTCCAATTGTCAGTCTACAGGATCCATTGTGGGATACAGATCCCGATGTATTTTCATAGTATTTTAATATCAGTTTGTGTGGTAACTGAATATCGTACAGTTTCAAAGTACAGCTCATAAACATGTATAAATTTTAATTTTCAACACCCCGCCTCTCAAAATCTAAAAGACATAAATTAAACCGTCCGGGACGTTTTTTGCAAAGTAGGTCAAGATCAAGTGGATTGTACAGCTAGTATTTTTCATAATGTTTTATGACAATCAGTGCACATGCTAAATAGCCTAGACTTACCTCTTAAATGTTAAAAAAAGAAATATGCTGTATATGGGCACTATTAACTATTTTGTGAAGTAGATCAAAGGTCAAGGGTCACGAGGTCGGTAACCACGGCAATTCATAAAAGCCATAGTACCAAGCAATATATGTGCAAAATATCAAATTCATATCAGTTACAGTTCTTGAGTTACAGGGTGTGACAGATGGACAGATAGACAGACGCCGGGTAAAGTGATCCCAAAGTGTCGCTCTGCTCTGCAGGCGACACCAAAAAATACTAGGGCATCAATGATAGTTGGAAACGAGGGATAATGTGCATAACGGGCAAAGCCCATTATACATAAATTATCCCACGTTTCCAACTATCGTTGATGTCTCTGACATACCCAACAAATAGACATTGATTCCTTATACTTACATTTATATGCTAAATAAAACTGTAAATATAAATTTAAAAAAAAATGCTTTCTGATAGATTTTAAATAAACGATGCCTCACATTTTAATTTCAATAGTCCCCACTGACGTCAGACACAAATACGGCCACACAAGATTGACACGCATATAACCTCTGACCTTTAACCTGTCGAAATTAACATTCCGGTAGAATGATCAAGAAATCAACTCGCCTAACTTTCAAAGAGTTATCAGAGAGAAAACAATTAGAAATGGAAATATATGTCCTTATCCCTCCCCCTTTCAGTTTTGCATACATATACATGTATAGTCTAAAACATGTTAAATAACTATTTCTTGAGTGAACTCTTGATATGTCAACACGCCTCTCCCTTAATAATTTCCCTTAACATTATCATTGATTTTTTTTTGTTATATGTTTTTCTTATAAAAATGCTTTGTGATTGTAATTGGCGATTTTATATTATTGTTTTTTTTCTTTTGAAGAATGTCCTGCATGGCGCTATGGTAACGATTGTCTTCCATGCTCCTGTAATCAGAACAACACAGAGAAATGCGATGCTGATACAGGAAATTGCACGTGTAAGGCCGGGTTTTCTGGAGAAACATGTGACTGTCTGACTGGAAAGCACACGTGTGATTCCAAAACCTCTTTTTGTCATTTGGACAACGGAAAACCAGTATGTCTTTGTAAAAAAGGGATATCAGCAACACCCCAGAATAAATGTAAAGGTGAGCTACACAAAAGGAAACAATGCTTTAATGTAGGTTAATCCAGAGGATTAAGGGGTTCAAAGTAGTATTTGATACTTTATCTGCAGATTTTGGCCTGCGATTTACGGAAAGGTCTGCTAAGGATAGAGGGGAAGTAGAGTTTTACGGTAACGGGACCTGGAATGCCTTGTGTATTTTGAGCTCTAGACCTTCAAAAAATATTTACAGTGTACTCAACGTTATCTGCAGACAACTTGGATTACCAGTGTGAGTATACATTTACATTGAATGGAATCGTGATTTGAGATATGCCATATACATACACAATTTAAACATACGTAACTAGTATTCCCTTGGGTGAGTTTTAGGAGAAAATGCAATATATTTTGTTTGCACTGAATTAATAATTTACTCGATACAATCAAGGCGGAGATACAGGCAGATGATTAAGAAATTATATCCAAATCTGTTTCAATTAAAATAATTTTTCTTATATATTTAAAGGGTGCATTCCAGTGCATATTTTTCCAAATACATTCCCAAAACTAACTTGCCAGATTACGAAATAGCTGAGGCATCATGTGACGGGACAGAAACTTCTCTGCAAGACTGTAACATTACCATGGAGCCTGCACTCAAGTGTAACATAGCTGTAGGGATTCAATGCTTAGCAGGTGATGCGTTTTTACTTGGTCTACATATCAAGAGATATTTCACGACGATGACTCGTCTTGAACATTATTTGTACATTGAAAGAAGTAATAAATACTCAATTTTCGTCAAACTCACTTAAAAAACTCTTGTATATATTTTTCTTATTCATATGTACGTTCCTTATTACAGAAGCTTTCCTCTGCTCAATTTCGGTCTTATTTATCATAAAAGATTCTTTTAGATGAAGAACTTTCATTAAAGCACATTTTAACGGCAAAATGCTAGTAGTAATACTATCAAAACTGCAGGATATATTGCTTTAAAACTGATTTCATACGAACAAAAGCTGCTTGTTCATAAGGGTTAATTCATACGTTGTAAGAATATCGGTTGTGGTCATCCGAGGTTTTTCTGTAATGAATTTTCATGAAATCTTTGCTTACCAACATGCTTACTAGTATTTAATGCATGCATGATGTCTCGATATACACGATTTGAAAAGGAATTTTTGAAATTTGAGAAAGTCATTTATAATGTGCATTTTACCATATTTTCAACTGAAATGAAATTTTAAAATGAATGCTGTATATAACGGACTTAATCAAATATTTCAAATAGTTACCAAAAATATGACAAGAGCGCCGCTCGTCACTGCGAGCTCTTAAAGCAACGCCTGGGCGAAGAGAAAATTCGGACTTTGCACATTGATCCAAATGATTTTTTCCCCTACCTCGAAACCCACATGCAACGCTTGTTGTTCTCGCTGCTTACTTCGTTTTCGCGATAACAGCAACTAAAAGTTCACGAAAAATATACGCACCTTGATTTAATGGATTTGCATACAGATAGTAGATTAAACGTTCTTTGTTAAAATTTCGCACTTTTCAAACTTCGTTTATGGCAGCTTACATACGACGTCATTTGACGTCACAGTTTAGACGTTCAAACTGTCTCGTCACAGTGTAGACGTTCAAAATGTCTTGTCACCGTCTAGACGTTCAAAATGTCTCGTCACCGTCTAGACGTTCAAAATGTCTCGTGCGGTTTGAAGTGGCGGCTCTTAAAATTAAGTGAACAACTGCGTTCGCCCCAACGGTCACACCGTCAACATATTATACATATGTATATACATAAATGTAAATACGAAATCTTGAAAGTCACGAGATATGACATATCACTTTTCAGCATGTCCGGAATGGAGATATGGAAAAGAGTGTACGTTCTGTTCATGTAACAAAACGAATACAGACAGTTGTGATCCTACCACAGGAGCTTGTACATGTAAACAAGGCTTCAGTGGTGCTACCTGTGATTGCTTGCAGGGAAATAATCCATGCAATGAAACAGTATCAGAATGCCATGCACAATCAGGATATCCACTGTGTCTTTGTAAAATCAAATTCATTGGAAGGAATAATTACAATTGTACAGGTACACATGTATCTCTCTCTTTCTCTCTGTTGTGTTTTTTTTTTTTTTTTTTTTTGCCAAAAGAGTACGGTAGTCAACCTTCATGTTCACTTCAGTGTTAATTAAATTATTAAACATAATAATATTACCCTTTATGAATCAGTACCTCCTATTTAACACTTTCTATATATGATGTGAATTCTCAACTGATTTGCATTTCGAAATGGGAATTAATATTAAGTGTTTAATTTAGACACCTTGAAGAAATTGACGATGAGGGTACAGAATTTTAATTAGTAGAACGGCAACCAATTTGATGGCCTGACGTTGTTGTTCACGTTGTGAGGGGTTTCATTTCATTGAAATTCATGCCAGAACGTGAATACTCATATCCATTTTACGCTAGAATGATTTTTAGCTCGACTCTTCTCGGCGATGTCGAGAAGAGCTTATGCTTTCCTCCCGGCGTCGATGTCAGTGTCGGCGTCCCTGTTTTAGGAGTTTTTAGGAGCAGATCCATTCTCAAGCAACTATAAGCCCAACCGGGACCAAACTTGTATGGATGAAACATCTACGGATGGACAATACCAGACTTGTATCAGATGCTGGATCTGACCTACATTTTCCAGATGAGTGACCAGGTTAAAGTTTTTGGAGCAGGTCCATTCCCAAGGAACTGTAAGACCTACCTTGATAAAACTTGCATGGATGGTGCATCTCCGGATGGATACTATTAGACTTGTATCAGATGCTGGATACGACCTATATTTTCCAGATGAGTGACCAGGTTCAAGTTTTTGGAGCAGGTCCATTTCAAAGGAACTATTATATATAATGTCCATACCTGAACAAAACTTGCAAGGATGATGCATCTATGGATGAACACTACCAGACTTGCTTTAGATGCTGACCTATATTTTCCTGATGAATGACCAGGTTTAAGTTTTTGGAGAAAGTCCATTCCCAAGTAACTATACGTCCTACTTAAATCAAACTTGCATGGATATTGATCTCAAGTTGCACACGAACTAGAAAAAAAAATTGTGAGATTTGCCTTACTTTTGGATTACATTCGTCGAGGTGTGTTTCGTAATCTTTGATTACCTATGTTTTTTTTTCTTATTGAAATCTATTTAGATCCAATACGGCTAGCAAATCAATCAACAACTGTAACGAGCAGCGGAAAAAAACTCTACGCTGGAAGAGTGGAGCTTTACGTTAACGGAAGTTGGGGAACGATTTGTGATGACGGCGCCTTTCCCGGAAGTAAAATGTTCAAAGTAATGTGTAGAAGTCTTGGTCTGCCAAGGTAAAGCAAAATATTGTCGTTTTAAGAGATGTTTAAAAAAAGGGGTTGCATTTATCAGTTTTTGATACTAGTATGTAGACTGAAAATTATTTTTTTTTTTAGGTAGTTGTAACACAATTAAATTATGATGAAAATTGAAGGAACATTTTTCTCTGTTTCCATGACTTATTGATGTTTCTATCTATTTTTATGGACAGCATATACACAGATTTCCGTAAAGAGGCATATTATGGCCAAGGTAGCGGTCCAATACATTATGGCTACATACAGTGTGGCGGAACAGAAGACACTGTTTCTCAGTGTTACACTTCCACCACTGCTTATTGTGACCATCATGAAGATCTTGGAATCATTTGTGGCGAAGGTATATATTTGTTTGTTAAAAATTTAGAAAAGCAAATTTTTGTTACTTTTTCCTCCTTGTATAAAGAAGGATGAAATATATGGAGATAACGAACAGTATTCAAGCTCAGAAGAACATTCAAACAATACAAATCAGGAGCAGAGCAAACACGAACCTCTAAAACATCAGAGGTGGAATCAGGTGCCATGGAGGAGTGAGCATCTCCTGCCAACCGGTCACACCCGCCGTGTGCTCCTTGTCATGTTCGGGGAAAAGGGAAAAAAAAAACGTCGACAATTCGGTGTGTTAACAATGGTCTAATAATTAGTATGAAAAACGTCAGTCAGCATAAAGAGAAGAAATACACACATGTATAAGAACTATTGTATACACAGTAAAATATACCTTTGAAGGAAAGAAATGTAAATGGAATTACAGGCAAAGTTGAAAATATAATTTATCTTATAATCTTATACATTCCCTATACATAAGAACCACGGGGACTACAGTATAATATATTTTCATCTGTATATCTGCCAGACATTTGTTTTCCAGGTGTTTCAATTGTTTAAATTTGATTAAGGTATGTCACTCCTGACATGCGTTATATCAAGGATTTTTCGAGAAGTGTATTTTAGGTAACTACACAAAGAGCATGTCTCAAAACTACAAAGAAATTATGGGGTCAATGTGCATCTTACTAAGCAACGATACAACTTACTTGACCTTTTTGCACTTAAATTGTAATTTTTAGGTTAATAACTTAAAAGTTTAATATATTTTACCAAATGTAATCATGGCAATAAATAACTATAAATTTATTTGAATAATTTTTGTTATTGAAAAAATCCTGCAAATTAGTGATCGTAAATTATTTTGTGACCTTTTTGCACTAAAAGAAAAAAAATCATATTTGGGGTATTAAAAGTCTTAACCGGCAATGAAACATTTTCCACTATCAAGCTTTTTATGACTTCAATGCTTATCAGTTGAGAGTATCATGTAGTTAAAAAAATGAAAGAAAAAAAATGTGATCAATGGTGTTAATTTTGAGATATTGATAAAAATGTGTAATTTCAAGGAATAAAAGAAGCATTTATCTTGACTTCATCAAGCAATTCTTTTTGGCAAAGTCTGTTGAGTGAATTTGTAAAATTTGTTCTAAAAATATCAATTGAAACCTATATTTAATATTCCTAGCATAAATAACAGTTCTCTGATTTAAAATGTGTAGGACTAAAGTTCCAAGAAATTAAATGAAACAGATTTGTAGATTTGAAGAATTTTCTTCTTAATATCCTACCACCAAAAAAATTTATGAAATAATCCCTTATAAAATTTGTTTCTCTACTGTTTTGTGAGCAGTTTAAAATTAAATGCTATATAATTAAAATTCTGACCAAACTTTTCTCAAAAGCTGACGTGTGACATACCTTAAGGTCTCCTGTACTTGACAGTGGTTCTCTGTACTCTTAAATATAGACAAGTCACAGAATAAAATTTAGTTTTATTGGATTCAAAAGGCTGAGCCATTATTTGAGGCCAGTGGCCATTTATATGATAATCATTGAAGTTTAAAAACCCGAATTTTCGACGTTTTTTTAATTAAACGTTTAGATGATGGGTTATGTATTTATTACACCACTAAGTGTAAAAAGTTGTAGATAAACTTTAAAGTTTACGAGCCTTAACTTTTTTTTCGATAATAGGGATAAATTTTTCAGGATAAGATTTATCAAGGACCAAAAAAAATTTAAAATCTTTTCCAATAACAAGACAGTACTAGTCATATTTATGAACAATCATTTTCAGCTATAAACATTCTTTTGTAAGCTGTTTGTTATGCCCCGCCATGAATATGGCCGGGGCATAAAGTGTTTGTCATGTCCGTCTTCCGTCCTTCCGTCCCTCCGTCCTTCCATCCTTCCGTCTTTCCTTCCGTCACGCTTTGCGTTTAGCTCTGTTCAAAGCTCAGTTTCAAAGAAACTATCCAAGATATTTTTATCAAACTTCATATGCTGATAGATATTGATGAGAGCTATGCAACTGCATCAACATTTTTTGACCTTGACCTTTCATTTGACCTTGACCTCACTTTTCTAAAATTAGTGTTTAGCTCAGTTTTAAAGACACCATTCAATACAGTGTTATCACACTTCATATGTTAATACATATGATGTAAGCTATTCAACTGCATCAACATTTTTTGACCTTGACCATTCCTTTGACCTTGACCTCACTTTTCTTAAATTAGTGTCAAACTTCATATGCTATACAAACTGATGTAAGCTATTCAACTGCATCAGCATTTTTTGACCTTGACCTTTCCTTTGACCTTGACCTCACTTTTCTCAATTTGTGTTTAACTCAGTTTTAAAGAAAACATTCATAATATTTTTATCAAACTTCATATGCTAATACATACTGATGGAACCTTTTCAACTGCACCAACATTTTTTGACCTTTCTCTTTCCTTTGACCTTAACTTCATTTATTTTAAATTAGTGCTTAGCTCACTTTTAAATAAAACCATTCAAAATATTTTTATCAAACTTAAATATGCTGATACGTATTTGTAAAAAGTGTTCAACTGCATCAAAAACATTTAACCTTGAACTTTCCTGTGACCTTGACCTCACTTTTCTTAGATTTGCATTTTGCTTAATTTTAAAGAAGCCATTTAAGATATATTTATGTAAGTTTAAATTGGCGAGAATTTATCATCTATATCACTCTTTTTTTTATTTCAATTTCAATTTTAAAGAAACTATTCAAGATATTCTCATTAAATTTCATACACTAATACAAATTTTCATGTTGCATTACTAATAAACTCTCGGCGGGGCATTCATGTCCTATGGACATATTTCTAGTTTGTTGAAATAAAATAATCTGCTATATTATAAACAGTATTTTAAGCATTAAAATTTGTTATTCCGTTGATGAGGAAGAAAAGCTATTTAATAAAAAATATTATTTCAAGAAAATTCAATTGTTTGGTTAAATAAAAAGACATTTTATAATTTAATGTTTTTTTTAGAATGTCCAGCATTCACATTTGGAAGCGACTGTATAAATTGCCAATGTGTACAGTCGAACACTCTCTATTGTAATAAAACATCTGGCCAATGTAAGTGTAAGGATGGGTTTGAGGGCCAGACTTGCTCCTGTCGTAAAGGGAATCACACGTGTGACCTAACAACATCCATCTGTGAAAATGACGCATGTTACTGCAAATATGGGATCAAACCAACGTCATCGTGTATTGGTTTGTTCATTTCCATTTTAAATCGACTGTTCTATCCTTTTTTTTTTTTAAATCTCTTCCAATTAATAGTGCATGTATATGCATGCATATGAAATTTTAAAAAAAAAAAGTATGTATTGTTGCATCAGAATATTTTATTTTTATATTTTTTTCTGCAGATTTAATGGATTTTATGCTTAAAAATTAATAATAGTATGTGTTAGTCATATTTAACTAATTTATTGTTATTTTTATTTACTCTTTACAACAGAGAGGCTCCGATTGGACAAGGCAAACAACAGTACTTTACAATATCATAGGAACAATAAGTGGAATTATATTTGTGCAGACGATTTGGCATCGCAATTTGCAAGCGACCGTGTCATTTGTCAGGCAATGAACCTACCCACGTAAGTTTTGATCCATATATCAAAGGAGTGTTTTCACATTTGTTATTTAAAAGAATTGCGCTAAAAGCTTGTAAAACCTCTAAATTAAGCACAGGCATTAATATTCATCGAACTTACGAAGGAATGTTAAGAGAATATGTAAGTAACAGTCTATATTACAACTCCATACTTCCAAGTATGTTGAAAACAACATTTCCAGACTGCTTTAGATTAAAAGAAAACAAGCAATGTGGATTAAAATATCTGGTATAACTTAATCTGTAACAAAAGCCCTGTAAGCACCAGTAGAGATGTAGCCTTCTTTTAATTGTGTATTAGATTAATTGTATCATAATACATGTACATTAAGTGTAAATGTGGCAACCATTAAAGGTTCATGCCTATGTTCATTCATTTAAAATTATGCTTTAATAGTTATAAAAGGAATCTAATTTTTGATTAAAATGAAAACTGTTTCAGCATACCCTTAGGGCCGAAATTTGAGAAAAATTTCTTTTAACCTTGATAATTTCAAAAAGTAAAAGAAGAAAATTTTCCTTGTTAGAGTTAACTCTAGATCTCTTTAAGAGGATCGAAGATGGTCCACAAATGGCCTATTAAGATGTTGTAAAAATCAGCATTATTGTTTAAGCAGCGATAGAATGGTGCATTTGTTTGGAACCCATCATAATTTTCAAGCCTTCAATTAATTTTTTTTAAAGAATTCAAGCTTTATATTCATTTTATTTGATATTGAAGACGCATTACAAGACTGAAGGAGATTTACACTGCACACAAAGGTTATAAGTTAAAGATTGATGACCGGTGTATGACTGCATTGCCCTCTCCCAGAGGGGAATGCCTGAGGTTTGAGGACAGTCTCTCCATCTGTGACAACGGAATCGTGCAACTTCAGTGCTTAACAGGTATACATATAATAAATATGATAAACGTGTTTTATGATTCAAATGCTTCATCGTAGATCGGACACCCTTTTACTCCAAAGAATAGTTGATTTTTTAAACTTAATACAGTGGTTATTCTTGTGAAGGTAAGTCTGAATATAGAGAAGTTCGAATGTAATTCAACATTTTTTGGATGGATAAATGCTGTTTTTCTCAAAATATATGGAAAACACACTTTTTTTGTTTTTTTTTTAAATTTTTGGTGCTCTTCTGTGCATATAGAATGCCCAGACTGGACATACTTCACCCAAAACGAATGCCATGACTGTCCTTGTAACGTGACAAACACAGAACGCTGTGACAAGAGATCAGGGAAATGTGTATGTAAACCTGGATATGTAGGGGATCTCTGCAACTGTAAGGGGAATACCTGTAACATCGATGTGGCTTTTTGTCAAGAAAACGAAAACGGAACTAGCTGCTTATGTAAACCTGGCTATGAAAACAGAGGATTCAATTGTCAAGGTACTTTCTTGAGAGAAATGATTTTAAGTTTAAATGGAATTCATACGTTCTGGTTTGATCTCCACTTATCATCTGGATGTCAACAATCTTGTCTATTCAGAATCTTAAAGAAGTACCGTACTAAAACATACAACTTTTGTAGATTCTTTAAGGCTGACTTCGACAAAAAACCTGACATCAAGCTTTAAAAGCGTGGAGTACAGAATTGGCATTTCCTGGATTTCTGCCTTTGCACCACGATACTCAACTCCACTGTATAATGGTGTTTGTGAACGACTGGGATTACCCACGTAAGAGAAGTGTTAAGTTTGACTCCTTTTTGTTCATTTTTCAAAATATATTCAATGTTGTTGTTTGGTTGCTATGAGATTTGAGAAACAAATGAACATGTACCTTAATCTTTGCAATTATAATTTTATATATATATATATATATATATATATATATATATATATATATATATATATATATATATATATATATATATATATATATTAGGGATGTCAACGAATATTCGAGTACTCGACTATCGATCGATCATACCGACTATCGACTAAATTTCTTTAGTCGGTTATTCGTTAAAAATGTGTTACCTAATAGTAATTTTAAATTCAAGGTAATAAACTTGGATCTGCCCATTTCATTTATTTACAGATCAATGTTCTCGTAAGTAAAACTCAGGATAAGGTTTAACTGTTCAAAGGAAATTATGTATATATCGATTTATGTTCGGCAAACATGCCTCCAAAATCTACAGTTTTGGCATACTTTAAAAGATGTCAGGACGGAAAAACTGTGAAAAGTACGTTATCAAGTTTATGTGAAACTGAACTTGTATTCTGCAGTGGAACATCAAATATTGTGTATCTATGCCGAATCCGTCAAACATATAGAGTCTTCAAGTAAAACTTTCCTAGTAAGTTCTCCGCAAAAAATGACAAAAAAAAAGCAGAGCCGGTGTAAAGACGAATAATGACCCCCATAGAATAATGACCACGGGGTCATATTTCAACGACAAAAAATGACCCCCCAGCCGTAGAAAAAATTAATTTTTTGTAGAAAAAGAGACCTAGGGGTCATTATTTTACGTATGGGTCCTATAAAAAAAATGACCCCCGTTGAAAAATGACCCCCTTTTCAACAGAGTGCATGATCCAAAATTTATAACGGTTGATTGATGCCAAGGTTTGAATGGTTGATATTCATCTTTATGCCCTTTTTGACCAACACTGGACCACACGCACGATTAAAATGCAATAAAACCGCATTACATTTACCTGCATATTTCTGTCTTTTAGGCCTATTGTGTTCTCAGCACATATTGAAAATCGCAAAATGGCTACTATTGGTTATAACCGTAATTTCCCTTTATGACTGTCTTCCATTTGTTTCATATTTGGATATTTGACTGATTATAGACATTCATAGCTAAATAACAGACAAGCGGGATGTTCTGGCTTTTCGTTTGTAAACATGTCTCCCAAAGTATTCAGCATGCTTTGAGTAGGATCAACTTTTTTTTTAAAAAATGAAGGAAAAAAAAAAGAATGAGATACTAGAAATAAATACGGAACGTTATGCAATGTAATATATATGTATATTTTGAATGACATAAAAAGTCGTGCAAATGAGGTAGAATGTATCGAAAATGACGTAATAACTCGTGCAAACGACATACTGTGGATATATATATTTCTTAATGAAAAAATGGTGAAGATAACGAACAGTGATGATTTTAAAATACTGTAGATTCCTTATTTTTCGCGAGTACTTATTATCGCGAAATTGCTCTTTCACGTCAAATCGCGAGAACAATTATTCTCGAGTGGACGGTTGATCAAGGGATTTTACATTGATTTCAGCGCCATAAAAATAAAAGCGAGAAATTTTAATTCGCGAATGGTGCTTCTCGCGTAATTACGCGATAATTAATTCCTCGCGTATATTTAGGAATCTACAGTATCCACAAGCAGTACAATTTTGTTAAAAGGGCATAAAAAGGACCCCGAAAATTGCAGAGGTGGAATCAGGTGTCTAGCAAGAGTAAGCATCTCCTGTTGTCCCGTCACACCCGCCGTGAGCGCTATTAATAAATCAGGTAAACGGGACATTCCGTTGTCGAATTTAGTATAAAAACAAGGGCCAAACAATTGACCCAATTATAGGTTATATTTGTTGACATGGTCATTGATACGGCCATTGAATCTACGAAATGCTGACTTTAAACGAGGTTGTTGAAACCCCTGTAACATCAACTAACATGTATCTGTCAGTAGGCTGCCTCGATTTAAAAATTAATCGTGCTCTTGGGTATCGAATAAGTTGATAGACGTAAACATTATTATATATGCAAATGATTGCAGAATATTACTTCATAAATAAGGAAATTTGACAATAGAAAAGGCTGAAGTCATCTCGTTTGTCAGACAATTTAGTTGTTAGTTGGTCTTCATCGTCTATAGTCAGTAGAACGTCCAAATATGAAGCAGACGTGACAAACATAAGAAGGACATAAAATTTCTGCATGTCTGAAATATATACAATCTTATAATGTGCATTCAAATTTATGTATAAACAGTGGTCTACTCTATGGGAATTTCTTTTCAAGTATATAGAAGTAATACATGGAGAATCCCAGTATAATGTACATTCAAGTCTGTTAACATGGTCGTCTGAGAATAGGATACATACATGTAAGAGGAATATTTTTTAATCCACTTTAAAACAGTGATAAATTTGTCAAATCAATATGGAAACATTTTTAATACAGTGTATATTGAAGTAGATTAATGTTTTCAATTTATAATTAAAGACAGACTATTTTATTGACCTTCAAGGTGAATACATGTATAAGGATTTATTTTTCCTACATTGAACTAAAAAAAGATTGAAAACAATTCTGAAAAGTTATTTCACCTGCATCTGAATTCTACTCAAGTGAACATAGTATTCAAGCACAAAGAATCGGAGAAGAGGGAGGTATTGTTCCCCCTTTTCTGAATGTAAATTTTAGCAATTTTTAATTTGAAAATGTTCATTGAAAGTCTTGTAACCACCCCCTCTTTCTCATAAAGTATAGTTAAAAAATCTCTCCTACTTGAGTGAACAAGATGAACATAATATTCAGGCACATAGAATCAGGGATGGGGTGTCCACCCCCTTCCATTTCCATGAACGTATTTTTTTTTCGCTTGAAAATTTTCATTGCATGTCTGGTTGTCCTGCCCCCAACTTTTTGATACAGTAGAGTAAAAGAAAATCCCACTTACATCAATAAACTTTTTGAGGGGTTCATCAAAGATATTTTATATATAGATAACTAAAAGTATTTTTTGCCTCTTATAATGCGCCATTTCCCCTTTCGATGCTATGCCTGACATTTATTTTTTCTACATTGCACCAAAACTAGATTTCAAATGCAAAATTAATACTGGTTATGCTTATGTTAACTCCTATTCTTTCACTGTGTTTGGTTAGGACTTAAGCAAATGTAAACAAGAAACTTGACATGTCTGCTTAATCAGTTTGTATCAATTTAATCGTTGAATCATATATATAATAAAACAATTTTTACTGTTTTTTCTGTCAGGACGATCAGTGATTTTCCACCATCGAAAAACAATGCTCTCCTCTCCCTTTGGACTCGATAAATCTTTAACTCCACTAGATTCTGAATCATTGAATTGACCTTAAAAACAGCAATGATTGTATAATGTAATGAAATCAATGTATCATCGATTTATTCCCAATGAAGCTCAAGTGAGCATTTTGGCCGAAAAGTGCCCCCTAAAAGTTTCAACTTTAATCCGCTTTAATTCACAAGGGGTCATTACTCTACGGGGGTCATTTTTCTTCACGTGGGGTATGCATGTTTTAAGGGTGATGACACTTTTTCTACGGGCAAAAGGGTCATTTTTCGACGTCGAAAAATGACCCCCGGTCATTATTCTATGGGGGTCATTATTCGTCTTTACACCGAAAAGAAAAATGTTGCTAACACAAACATGTTTATCAAGGATTGTCTACAATGTACCTCTTTTTGTTGTAAATGGAGAGGGCGTTCTAGAATTGTTTGGTTTTGATTTAAATTATAAAGTTTCAACCTGCAATTCCATAAGATTTGACGTAATGCAACTATTCATAAAGAATGATCAAACAGCTGTTACAAAATTGTAAACACATGTAAACTGGGGGACATTTAACATAATTAAACGGTGTTTCTTTCTGATATTAATTTCATACAGTCATTTTAAGATTGTATTGATTGTTTGTACAAAATCTCATAATTAAAATTTATCGCGAGTTCTCTCTGTTTTCATAAGAGGCACGCTTTAATTGTTTACCAGTCATAGGTCACTGACAAAACACGTACAAATGACTTCAATTAACGGGTACATGTACCAGCCTTATGAAAAGAAAGGACAAATGCCAGTGTTTGATATCCTGCATTTAGATAAAATGTGAAGTAAATATTATATTTGAAATCAAATACATTGGATACATGTAGATGTATTTATTGTACAACGTAAATGTTTACGATTCAGAGATTCGTTGTATAATGGTGATAGCGTAGTAAATATTGTACAACTAGTCTATAAAAGACAAATAGTGAAAATGACATTCTAAATTAATTTAAATTTCAAAGAATATTCGACTATTTTTCGACTAAAGCCTCCGACTATTCGACTAAGCTGTCCGAATAAAATTGACATCCCTAATATATATATATATATATATATATATATATATATATATATATATATATATATATATATATATATATATATATATATATATATATATATATACGAGTGCTGTCCCAGAATAACGCGAACAATTTCAATAATTTTTGTTTCACTTATATTATAACATTAAAAGTTGTTGTGCACCGTAATCAACATTTTTTTTTACAAAATACATTGAAATTTCAATAAAATATCTCTATAAATAACATTTTTCTCTCAGATAAAGGCATCAGTTAAAATAGCTATCCTCGCAACACCGACGACGTCAAAACGCAGCTCGTAGTGAATTTATTGAGTAATTGTGCTTTTTTAAAATTTCGTTCAAAGCATAAATTTGATACTGTATTTGTTTCTTTTTAGTAACCCAGTTATCTATTTCACACATACTACAGTTAAGGAAGCATCATGGAATTAATTCTTTTAATAGATAATTTTCCAACCCCGATCATAAACCTAAATGCTTGAATAGTTAATGGTGGTCTCCACATATGACGTTCAGGTCTAAATTTTTCAGATTGTCTTTATTTCTGCTGATATTCCAAACGTCTCTTCCACTGGATAACCAGTCCATCCATCTTTAAACCTCTTTTACTAAGCAGTCCCTGAAACGTTCTACTTTCCCATTTTTCCGTTCGCTCTCCGTTCGTTCACTTTGCGTTCACCTTGCTTTCAGCGTTCACTTATCGTTCAGTCTTTATTGTCATTCGGAACTCCGAAGTGAAAGGACTTATCTTTTTTTAAGTAAGGATTTAGAGGTTTTGAATTTAATAATTAACATATCGTGTTTAAAGAATCATTATTTCATGGGAAAAAAAATATATACAATATTTATTTTTATTATTCTAACTTAGCTGTTAGGTTATTTATTAAATTTTTCTGGAAAATAGATGTTGTTATAAGCACATGTATGTACCTATGTAGAACGATGCTGAAAAATTAAATTTAAATACGGGCAATATACAGATACTTCAAGCACTGCAACATTTTGTTGTTATGTTAAAGACGACAAATCGTTAATGGATAGATAATATTCGAAGTCAAATAATTTACCAACTGCAGCAAAACTACGAAAATATTTATTTATATCACATTTTTTTTCAAATAATACAGAAATACATGTTAGAACAAGTTCTGAGAATTATAAACAGTACTGCAGATATCCAGTTAATTAAATATCTTTAGAGCGAATTAAATTGAAAGCGTGGTTTAAAAAATATATGTTTAAAATGTTATACATTATAGAATTTTTTTTTTCTACTTTACATGTATAAAGTCTTTAATTAGAGAGAGAAGAATGCCTTTATAACACGATTATCATTAATATAACCATGGTTATTCTCCAGTAATGATATGTTTCACCGTAACTTTATATGTTTGCCATTCGATATGATTAAGACCCCCACCCCCAGCCCCCTTTCCCCTAAATCGGTTACTTAGTTTGTATTCCCAGTATATTTTAATTAACATTTAAAAAGAAGTTAATGTGTTTTGTGCACAAAAATTTCAGTCTCAAAACAAACATGCATCTAAACAAAGTCATTAAACAACAGTAGTTCAAAATATACATGTGCTGGCGGTGATATTTTAAAGGAGATGGGCGAACATAGCGTGCAGAAAGCCTATAGCTTCAGATATATAAAAATCATGTTCAAATTGTGAGTTTAGTTTTTAGAGTAAAGGTCTCATTATTGAAATTCATGAAATTATGATAAACAAAACTTTTCTGGGGAAAATTTTCTCGTCAAAATTTATTCTTTTATTAAAAAATAATGTGGTATTCGTGGGGTTCGAACCCTAGCAGTAAATATTCCGAGTATATATCATTTTCTTTCGAGACTAGCACGCTAACCACTAGACTACACAAGTCCTGATGAATAGGGGTATTCAAATCATGTTTGTTATATGACCCTTGACTTAATGGACTTCAAGTATTTCGCGTAAAGATGCGAATGTTATGTCATAAAAGTATTTTTTTTTAAGGTATAGTGGGTCTTTGCTCCATATTTTTGGTAACCAAAAAACGTATATTTTTATGCAAACGTTGAGGATTAACTTTCAAAAAAATGGAGCGAAGACCAACAAATAATATGAATGCCTCTTTGTATCATCTTGTCCGAGTATAATCACGGCCGGGAAATGTCTACAGATACATGTAGAAGTCTGCTCAATAAATCATCATAAAAAATAAAACTGACGCAAAAATATATTATTGCATTAAAATTTTAAAATATGAGTGTATTTAAACAATACGTCCACATACCTTTGTAAAATATTTTAATTTTTTCTGGTTATTTTACACGGAATCGCCTTGGCACGGAAATATATGTATGGTTGTTACAACCGTTGTAATTCATTCTATAAATCCGTAGTTTTCTCTTCTAAAATCCACATTATTTGTAATGGTTTTATATATCAAATAAGAATAAACATATTTATTTTACATCTAGATTAATTTTATCTTTTATACTACAGTGTTCGGTAACAATTACAATGTTATACAGCGATAAAAATCGTGTTATTAAAAAGTTGAATTTAAACATCGTACATACATGTATATGCAGAAAATATTGTAAGAAACTTAAATTAATAATTTTACTTAATGTGCATGCATCGTCTTTCTTAGGACAATTTTCATTGATTTGTTTATTTATTTATTATTCATTTATTATTTATTTATTTTTTAGCACCAGGCATTAGAATACAATAGAATAGTTTCAATGCAAGGAAAAGATCAGAGGCCTTCCTAATAAATCGTTCATCTTGCGTTCACCGTTCGTTCACCTTCACTTTGCGCTCGCGTTTGCGCTCCGTTCGCGTTCTGCGTTCGGTCACCGTTCACACATCGCTCACCAAGTTGCGTTCAGCGTTTATACACATCGTTCACTCACCGTTTGCTCTGCGTTCTTTCAGCGTTCGTTTTGCGTTAGCTCACGGTTCAAGTGGGAAAGTAGAACGTTTCAGGGACTGTAAGTAAAACCATTGTTCGAAACATGTGTATATGTCGTTCCGTCTATTCCATTTCTTTTCCTGTACACACAGGAGTCGTATCCCGTTCCACAAAGCACTGAGTGATAATTTGGTTCGCCGCATTATCGCCCGACGTCGCCGTTTTTGACTATATCTCACTAAAAGTGTTTGTGCATATAACGTCATACTTTTCTTATTGATGAAGTCAAAGTTATAATTTCTTTTACACACGATTACTCTAGATCATGGAGTTTCTATGGATATAAAGTTTTTCACATTTATAGTTCCATATAGCCAGGTAATAAAGAAAACATCGCTGGCAACGCTATTTTTGAAAGTCAAAAAATTACCGCGCGCCGACCACCGATATTTTAACTACTGTACCTGTAAACACTGTTTTTAAACGCATATGACATTACAACGTTATAGAATAAAACTGACTTTGGTTAAATTGACGAAAATATCATTTCCCAATATTATGTAAAAAAAAAAATGAAACATTTTTTCAGGTAGTTTATTAAATATTTAAAAAGTTCGCGTTTTTCTGGGATAACCCTCGTATATATATATATATATATATATATATATATATATATATATATATATATATATATATATATATATATATTGTAGAGATGAAAAAAATACATTGAAAAAGTAAAAAGGAAAAAAAAATCTCTTGTAAAATAGGACGAATAATCTAAACACATCTACATTTGTGAAACCTACAAATACACTTTTGAAGTTTTTGTAATGTTGGAATTCTACTAATGTATGAGATAAAGAAACTTAGAGAAACAGCATTTTATTTGTCATTGCGTTAAAGAAAACAATATGTAGCAAGGAATAATTACCCGTTAAACAACCTGTATTGGAATATATTACCAATTTTCGGGATTTTTGTATTACATCTGTCAATAGCTATTTAGTCTTTAATATAAAAGGAAGTTCATTTAACTCCGTATTCCTTTATTACGTTTAAAGTATATTCTGTGAAACTTATCTAATCCGGACGTTTTGTATTCCGAAATCTAAAACAGTGTAAAATTGAAGTCCTTCTCATTAAATTTAAATTTTTGTTTAGAATGTTGCTTAATCCGGTCTATTTCTTCAAAACCATAGGTGTCCAGATAAAACAATTTTTTCTGTTCTTAGTTTGAAGTTAGTCAGTAATAGTTTACCATTGTATGAAACAAGGACGTCAACAGTCAACATTTCGCAAATTTTTTGGTCGATATAATGATTTTGTCAGCAAATACAAACTATCATTAAGTCGAATGTTGGCTGAAGTTTTTCATACGAATTCTTAGGCCATTTTTTCCACACTGAATTGACTAAGGATTTTACGTTTGCCCGATCATGACAAAGAGTACACTACGGGTGTGACCGGTTTGGGATGCTTTCTCTTCTATGTCACCTGATCCCACCTCTGATGTTTTTAGAGGTCCGTATTTGCTCCCAAATTCTATTGTTTCAATGGGTTTTGAGCTTGATTACTGTTCGTTTTCTTCATATTTCATTTACCAGAACTTCTAATATTTTTTTCTACTGTTGAAAAAATAAAAGGTTAGTGTATAATGATTTACATATAACATGTACAAAGCAATCTCTCAAAAATTGTACATTAACGATTGTCAAATATAATTTACACATCCTCATTATGCAAATAATAAAATTCATTCAGTTCTTGGACTGTGTGCTGCAAATTGTCAAAGCGTGTAGAGCATTGTTTTAGTAAATGGAAACCTTGGGACAAAAAGAAATGCAATGTATGTAAATCAAAAGTCACCACACTGGGGGCGTCATCAGGTTTTAAACGTTGTGGAGTATATATTATTTGGTAAAAAAGGAACTAGGCAATTGTCATATTTATGAACGCCACTCTCTAGAATAATTTTGTACAAAGCACTTTATTTGAATTTAATTTACTCATCTGAAATCATCTTAGTCTATTCTGAGCATTGCGTCAAGTATTCTATGGTATTGATTTTATTTGTAGGTTCTACAATAAACTGTCTTCATATCCAGTTCCACCTGATACCGAGTTAGTAGATTCTATGTGTATGAGGGACGAGTATTCACGTCTTAGTCTCAATTACACCAAGTGTGATAAAAAAGATGGTTATGATGATTTTTACTTCTATATGTCACCTCTGTCACAAGCTGAAACAGCTACATGTTTAAGAGGTAGGGGTGCCTTACAAGATTCCATTGAAATTCTTTAATTTAGAGACTGAACTATTTTTTTGTGATGTTACTACATGTATTTTGCTTTTTATGACGTCTCTATATAAGTGAAAAATTCTCAAATGGGACGTTAAACAACATACCATCAATCATTCATTAACAAATTTTGAATCAATAGAACCGGTCTTCAAGAGTAGGTTTCACCTATAAAATCCCCGCTAAAAACCGGCACTAGGGGAATTCCCTATTCCTTTAGGCTCTACAGTACGATTTCCCATACGGAAAATTGCCTCCGGAGTAGGGTTTATTTCAAGGAAATCCCAAACCAGATTTAATTTTCCAGCGGCATGATAGAAACCTACTCTATTTAAAAGCCATGGATTGCAATTTCCCTTAGAGCCAATTATCCCCATTAATATATTTACATAATTTAGTTTTCGTAAGGTAGTGGAATTCCTATACCCGTAAAAAGAAAGAAGGGACATTTTTTTTTTAAAGTGTGAGATTTCTCCAAGATGGGAAGTCTTACTCTGACCGGAAATTCCGGGAGGAAATTTGGCTATGGGAGAAATCCTTTTCTACAACACCGGTATATAAAGCTTATGCCTTATCAAAAACCCTAATAATAATACAAATATGCACATGAATATATTTTTATGCAAATAAGATAACTTATCTTTTAGTATTCTATGTATCTTCATGATTTACTGCAGATATTTGACAGTATTTCACACCTCCCATTTACACTCTTCCAGATTGTCCTGGCATGATGTTTTTCAATGCGTCTTCTTTCGATTGTGTCCCATGTAGTTGTAACAACAACAACACAGATTCTTGTAACCAGACGACAGGAGAGTGCACGTGCAAGGCGGGGTTTTATGGACCGTCATGTGACTGCGTCCAGAATCGGCACAACTGCAACAATACGTATTCCTACTGTTCCTTTCATGGAACCACACCTGTTTGCAATTGTAGAATCGGGTTTTATGGGAGGAATTTGGGCTGTTTCGGTAGGTGTTAATACATAAACACTGTGTATTAAAAGGAAGTGTACTTTACTTTAGTGTTCAATTATATAATGAAAGAGCAGTTCAAATTCAAGAACATTGCAATTTCACAAAGCCTTTTTTCAATACCCGGTCACTCATAGGAAACTTTTATAAGAAATGAAAGCTCTAAGTCTCTACTTTATATTGATGTTTGATGTCAGTGAATTGGTCTATGCACCGGGCCATTTTATGAATAAATTGAACTTAGCTTTTTCTGAGTACATGCAATTAAAATAGAATTTTGATTTGAGCCCAGCACTTGATCAAGCAATTAAATTTATAAAACTACCATAAATTTTATTAAAAATTAATCAATTATTTATTTGTAATTTTTAGATTAAAAGTTGTGATATAATAAAATTTTTAGAAAAAGCTCTAAGTATTGGTCAGTTTGGAGGAAATTTTTTTTAATTTACGAAGTCATGATAATCGACTAGCGAGAAAATTGTGTGATTTTAGATATTAAGTCAGATAATTATTCTTAACGAAATATCATTTAAAATTAAATTGATTTAATTTTCAGAATTTCATAGGGCAAAATATAGCCCTTGATTAAGATTTACAGGGACAAAGTGAATTGAAAACAAGGAAGTGATATAATTTGAAAATTACTCTTAATATATTGTAGAATCACTAAGATTCATCAGGAATACAGGTGTTTTGCAATTGTATCATCAGGATCAATGGATGTTAATTGGTTCCAGTTATAGTTGGGGTAAAACGGAAAATAAAGTTATTTGCACTCAGTTGGGGTTACCAACGTAAGTCACTTTTATTTCATCTAATCACATTTCTCGAGTTTAAAACATGTTTCAATACAGATACGATATAAAGTTACAACGTAGAAGGAATTCGATGCTTTTTATACTCCACCATGAATACATGTATGGTTAGGGTATATAGTATTTGTCATGTCCGTCTTCCGTCCATTCGACTTTCCGTCTGTCCATCTGTAACACTTTTCCTTTTAATAGCTTATTTTCAAAGAAACTGTTCAAGATATTCAAAATAACATTCATACATTGAATTTGATTGATATTCAACTGTGGCAGAATTTTCTTACGTTGACCTTTTAGTGACTTTGGCCTCACTTTTCCCTATTTTGTGTTTAGCTAAGTTTCAAAGTACATGTATCTACATGTATTCAAGAGATTTTTTTAAAATAAAATCTCAAGCACTGATACAAATTGATTGTAGGCATTCAACTGTAGCGTAGTCGCCCGCGTGGCACAGTGGTTAGAGCGTCTGCTCTAGAGTCGCGAAGTAAGGAGTTGATTCTTACGTCGCGGGTTCGAACCCCACTGTGGGACGTGGAAACCGGTCCTTCGGATGAGACCGTATCAACAGAGGTCCCATGTCGCAGTAGGTGCTGGCACGAAAAAGGTCCCTTACTGCTCAATGGCCGTAAGTGCCGAGTATAGGATAAAATTTGCAGCTCTCCACCGACAAGTGGTGGCGTCTCCATATGAGTGAAAAATTCTCGATCGAGAGGTTAAACAACATACAAACAAATAAACAACTGTAGCGTATTTTCTGACCAATTTTCTTCCCTTTGATCTTGACCTCACTATTACATATTTTGCATTTAGCAAAATTTAAAAGAAGCTATTCATGATATTTTCATTAAAAACTTCATATATTGATAAAATATTGGTGGGGACTTAAACTGTGTCATTGTTTTTCTGACCTTAACTTTCTTGCTAACATTGACCCAAATATGTGTAATTTTGCATTTATCTTGGTTTCAAGGAAAACTTTGCAAGATATATTCATATATATATTCACTTTTCATGAAGATACAAAGTGATAAACGATATTCAACTGTGGTTTATAATTTTCTGACCTTGATTTTCCCTATGTTTTTAACCCTTAATTTTTCGTAGGGCTGGGACGATACAACTTTTTCTATATCAATACATATCAAGATATTTGAGCCACGATACGATACGTATCACGATTGAATTGGTTACTAAATCTATTTTTTGTATTGAAATGAACAAAACATTTCTTCACAAATAAGGATAATTTATTGAAAGAAGTTGTATACATGTATCTGTTTTAAAACAAAATTATTTTACACAAGTGGTGTTAATTATTATGTATTTCATATTTATATTTATATTTAGCATATTTTTTTATGTATTAAATCCAAAATGTTCAGAAAACAAAGAAAAAAATAAGTCAGAACTTTTTTTGCGATATTTCGATATTTCTTTATATGTCTCGATATGCGTATCGTCTTCACATAGAATGGATATTATCAATATCTCAGTATATCGTCCCAGCACTAATTTTTCGTATGGCATTTAACTGAGTTCCAAAGAAACTATTCAAGATATATTCATTTAACTTCTTACAAAAATCCATATCGATTAGAGCTTTTCACTTGTGTCAAAATTTTTACCTTGACATTTCAGAACCTTGACCTCACTATTGTTTTGCATTGAGCACAGTAACAGAAAATGTTTACAATATTCTCATCAAACTTGATAAACCAATTCAACTTTATTGAGAGGAATTTAACTGTGTCATAATTTTCTGACCCTGTCGTTCCTCATGACTTTGACCTTCCTTCTGACTTTGACCTTCCTTCTGACTTTGATCTTCCTTCTGACTTTGACCTTTCCCCGAAGTTCAACTTTACTTTTTGAAAACTTTTTAATCAAACTTCAAATTGGTGATAGCAATTCAACTATATCATTATTTTTAAGTTTCACCTTTATAATGATCTGGTCCCACTATTCATTCATTTTTGCAGTAACGAAGGTTCCGTTTAAAGTGTTCGAGATATTGTCATTAAACTGATGACGGCAATTAAAATGTAAGGTCTGACGACACGTTCCTAGAAGATCTGTTTTGTATCTCTTCATAAAATATCAAAAATTATTCATAATTGTTATTCTCTTGAGATTTTGAAATTGTATACAAAATGTCTTAAAAATAAGTACACTAAAAATTGTAATATTGGATATTCGTAAGATTACCAAAAGGATTGTATGGGAAACACCACCCTTTGTATCTTGCACAAATGCCTGTTAAGGTACCTCAATTTTTTGTGAGAAAACTTGTTAAAGTAGCAATACTTCAATGACAAATTCTTGGAAAAAATTATATATTATTGAGGAAAGTGTCGTCTGACCTTAAGTTATTTTTTAAGAAAAGTACATATCTTTCTATATTGCAACACAAAGCCGGGGCATTCATTTCCTATGGACTATTCCTTGTTTGTACACTATTCATTAATTTTTACAGACTTTAACATAAGCCCTGTTGCACACTAGGGGAATATATATATATATATATATATATATATATATAGATAGATAGATAGATAGATAGATAGATAGATAGATAGATAAAAAGATAGATAGATAGATAGATTATATATATATATATATATATATATATATATATATATATATATATATATATATATATATATATATATATATATATTCGTTATTATAATACCAATAACTAAAATTAAAATTATAATTATATACCTTCAAATTCTTGTAGTTTTTATATGTCATACATCTCGAAATCTCGGAGACAGACAGGCCTGATGTACAGCGATTATAGTAACAGGAAAAAGATAACCTATTTATCATGTACGGGAGACGAAAAAGAAGTATCCCAATGCAGATTTAGCGTATCTAGCTACATTTCTAGTTATACATCGTTTGGAGTTGTTGAGTGCCGATCAGGTAAAACATTTGTATTCATGCATGTAGTATATGAAAATTTAAAATAGCACTTAAAACTTAGAATTTGAGTTGAAAAAAGAATGTCAAAAATTTTTTTTAAAAAGGAGAAAATTTAAAACATGCACACATTCTCACTCTGTCCTCGTGAGATGCATCACAAAAGCGTTAGACGACAATGTTAAATATAGCTAGAGCAAAATATGCAAAGCAAAAATAAAAATCGGATGTAAAATCATTGGCAGGATTAATTCATCATAATTATAAAACCTTAGTAACATTAGAGAAATATATACAATTTTGCCTTGCCAAACATGATTTTTTAGAGGACCCCATACATTTCCCTTTAATGTATATGGTTTGAAAAGATCAGGATAATATCCATGTATTGTTGTGAAGTAATTTGGATGTATCTGACTGTTTAAATGAAGTCATAAACCTGGGTGTTCAGTATACTTTCAATGAAAAATATGTAGAAAACACTATTTTAACAAAGTATGCGCTGAAAGCAAGGTTGAGGACCTGAATACCAGACTTAGCTCTGACTTACGCAGTTACGTAAAGGTGCGGAAAAAGTTAAGAGCTGGCTTAAAAGTCCTTTCAAATTTCAGAATTTTTTTTATGCGTTGCTTATAACAGCAGGTAACATTTGATGACATAGTAGAGGCACTTCAAATGTAAGATGTATCCAGTTAAGAGATGTATTCAGTTGCAGAATAATAAATTGCTCACATCAAAGAATAAGCTTAGTCAGGCATAAATTTTGACATTGGAGAAGGAAAATAAATCTATGTTAGATGCACTTTATCTTTAAAAATATGGAATTAAAATGAAGTGGAATATATAACCTTAGTTTGTAAATTGGAGTGTATTACCCCGTTTACTGTATGTTTTATTGATTCCTTCTCTTTTTTTTCATCAGGTCTGTACCACTAGAATAATTTGCTTGTGAAATTGTGAAAATGTTCTTCATTATATTCAAATGCACTATGAAACAACACTTAATTAGCTTATTTTGAGCAGTTGATCATGACATGGTTGTGCTTACACTTATTTACCCCAAAGCCGTTCTAAAATCCAAGGATTGTGGGAAATATTTAGCAAGCACATTAACTTTCAAATTCTCTGTTAACATTTTCCAGCAGTCAGTTCACATGTAACAAACCTGTCTAAATACTATAAAAATGTGAAAACATGAAATTTATTAATGACTATCAAATAAATAAAATATCAGAAAGTTATTCTAGAACTAACATACCCTTTGATATTTTGTCAAACAGGTCCTTGCTATGAAAATACCTATGATATTTGACAATAATTTGGAGAAAATAAGCATAAATTCGTTGCCAGCTTTAACCCTAAAAATGATTAGAGCTTAATAACAGTTTTCTAAGATTGGTCCCCTACTTTCTCGTCGAAGACGAAACTGACGTCGTGAAGATATTACCTAATTGTAGCTATATGATCATAATTTTTCTCCTTTTGAAAATAATCACAATTGTGAAATTTTTTTAGCTCACCAAGCCGAAGGCTCAAGTGAGCTTTTCTGATCGAAATTTTTCCGTTGTCTGTCTTCGTCGTCGTTGTTATGATAATCATTGTCGTAAACTTTTCACATTTTCATCTTCTTCTCCAGAAGCACTGGATCAATTTCAACCAAACTTGGGAAAGAGTATCCTTGGGTAAAGTGATTCAAATATGTTCAAATAAAGCGCCACACCCTTTTCCAATGGGAGATAACTAAGAAAAAGGGGAAAATTGGGTGTGGTAATTTAAAAATCTTCTCAAGAACCACTGGGCCAGGAAAATGAAACTTATGTAAAAGCTTTCTGTGGAAGTGTACATTTAAGTTTCTTCAAACCATGACCCCGGGGGTAGGGTGGGGCAACAATAGGCGATTAAAGTTTTACATACATGTAGGAATACATTGGAAAATTGTGAAAATTCTACTTATCACGAACAACAAAGTCATATTTGTATGGAAGCATCCTCAGGTAATGTATATTCAGATGTGTTGAAATAATGAACCCCGGGGGTAGGATGGGGCCAAAATGGTCGATCAGTGTTTTACATAGGAATACAAAGAAAAAATCTTCAAAATAATTCTTCTCAAGAACAGCAAAGTCATGATTAGTCATATTTGTATGAAAGCTTCTTCAGGCAATGTAGATTCAAGTTTGTTCAAATCATGACCCTCTGGGGTACGAAGGGGCCACTATGGGCGATAGAATATTTACATAGGAATGTAAGACAAATCTTTAAAAATCTTCTCAATAGCAGCAATGTCGTGATTAGTCATATTTGTATGAAAGCATCCTCAGGTAGTGTAGATTCAAGTTTGTTCAAATCACCCCTGGGGGTAAGGTTGTGCCATGATGGGTATTCAAACTCAAAGATCCAATACATTTTCAAAAATTTCCTGCTATGAGCGTATTATGTACAGAGAAATGCACTGCTGTTGCCCTCTTTGTGCACATTTTATCTTAACAAAATTTCGAGTATAATTTTCCCGTTTATTAGAATACAAAATCCGTCAGCAGCGATTATCTACATTTCCTTCCATAATATATGTATCATAAGAAATATAGAAATTTTATTTCAAATTCCTTCACATTAGCTTTAAGATCAAAGAGCATACTAATTGAAGTAACAAGTATCTTGCAACATGTCCAAACGATATTATTAAGAATTGATCCTATGTAAATTACTTAAATCTAGAGTCCGAAAGTATGCAATGTATTTTTTTGTTCTTCTCAGCACAAACAGCAATTTCATTTACCTGCCTGGAAATAAGCTGATGAAGAAACAGGTCTAAAATACTCAAAGGTATCCAGCAGAGACATCAGTCATTGTCAGGTTTAATTAACTACAGAGATTTGCCAAGGAAACTGTTGTTCTTGTCTTTCTAGGAAATCATAACCTTGAGAGAGAGAGAGAGAGAGAGCTTTTTACTTTCAAGGCAACCTTTCTCTCGGCGTTTAAATCTTGCAAGAAATTCCTGTTTTATCCAAGAATGCATGATTCCAATTATAAACGGTTTTGACAAAAAGAAATACAACGTTTTCCCGTGTTCTGACAAACTGATCGGGATCACTGAAGATCTGCACTCAAGTCAAACATCACTTGTAAACTTAAGGATAACTGTACCAGACAAGATAAATAAATAAAACTGAACAAAAACCAACCCCCGCCTTGATACATTTAGGTTTCTTGTAGGCAGGGCCTGTATTGTAAGTGCTGGTCTGCAGTCAAGTAAGACTTCTGATGAACATGCTGTGATAAAATGAAGACAATAAAGGAAATTTAATATTTGATACATCTACCTAGTCCTATCACACATACAGAGAGAGAGAGAGAGAAAGAGTAAATGAATGTCTTCCATATAGGATGAATAATATAGCATATCTTAAATATTCTTCTTTTGAACACAAGGGAGCAAAATATTATAATACTCTCTCGAATAACCTTTACTCAACTGTCTCATATTTTCCCGACTTTACTTAATTGCCAAACTCTCGTGATATTTCAGGTGTATATAATCTTAATGATATGTTGTTATATAAGATTTAGGTATGAGGAAAAAACCCGATACTACGCATGAAGCACATTGCTACGGAGTGATAACAGATATTGTTGATTTGATCTGATAACTTGTATTTCATTAATCACGGGTCAATCACCTACGTCTAATTACTTCCATTTTGGCATATTCACAGAATACCTGTATACATCATACAAAGTGACAAATTACAGACAATGATCTCATAAAACTATCATTTCTTGATAATTTTCAGGAAGTGATGATGTAGCCATTGGCTCAGTGGTTAAGGTTGATCAACTTTGTAGTTCGAATTAGGGAAGAGTTCCACTTATATACAGGTGGCAATGGTTTACCTAAAAAGCTAATTGGATATTTAAGGTTGTCTACAGCAAGGAACAATTAAAAGCTACCTTCCATCTTAAAGCCGAATTAGGCATATAAAGTGTTGAAATATACTCGCATTTTTCTTGGATTTTCTTTTAGATATCAAAAATATGATGAAAATTTATTTGCAATGATGGCAATGATATCTTTTTGATAGATAATATGCAAAGCAATCAATTACTGCAAAACGTTTTTATCACAAATTTACCGAGGAAATTTAAACTCATTCTATTTCAATTAAGTATAAGGGTAATGTAGTAGAGTACAACACTTACAAAACAACTTCAAAGTCATTGCGTAATATGCTTACGGTAAGGCGATATATGTATAAGCACTTAAGTTCAGCTTAATTTGACGTTACACTCAACAGAGGAAATTCTGGTGCGCCCATAGACTTAGACAGAGAAATATTGCAAATAAAGATAAACATGATAGTTTTTGTGCATTCTATATCGATGTCTAACATATAACCAAACCCCAAGTTTGTTACGCTTCCCTGCAGGAGAAAAGGTATTTTGAATTTTTTGGACAGGGCGCAGCACTTTATAACAGTGAGTTTGCATCGTGTTGCAGAATGATAAATTTCAAATGATTTAAAGGAAAAAAAGTTTCATTTACATGAACAATTATTCATGATGATTATTAAATCACTCCCTAACCTTTGATTAGTTTGAATTATTTCCATGACAACCAATTAAATTCCATCTCTGGAATTGAAAAAAAAAGTTTTATTTGTTTTGGTTTGTTATCAAGAACACATGCATAATGAGTAAAAGCATTTTCGTTGAAGAAACTGCGAGGTTTACCTGATTGTTGTGTTTATCTAACGCTTCCGCTCTGAAAATGAACTCAAGTAGCAGACGATACCACTGTTTTCTGTTTTAACGTATAAGGAACTTGGACACAAGTGATTGGATAGAACTGCATTCACTGATTAATAAGCAAAAATTAGTGACATTTCACAATCATAAGAGAACGTACTTCTAAACTTACCAATATCCAACTAGTGAAATTATTCCATAGACTGAAAAAGAAACCTGCATAAAAAGAGAGAACTAAAGAAGAGGCGATAGTCGTAATCTCAGACGGCAGCCATGAGGCTTTCAGAGTGGAAGTAGATATTACAAGTATGCAAAAAATCCCAATTTTTCTCGAAGAAATCTAATATCACCAGCAACGGTTCCCATATTTGTATTAGCCAATCAGAGTGGGTGTCACTTCTAATCACGGCACGCGTGAGGGGCTGGGCTAGACAAAATTACGGTTTGCGTAATGAGTAACTGGCAATACATTGATATTATCTGGAAAGTAGGTTGAAAACATCAACGAGAGTAGCTGTGCTTTTTTCGCTTGAAGTACGTGTATATCTATTATATGCATCAACTCTTGTCGGTAATTTTAAATTCGAATATCTAGGAAAAATCTTTTCAGGGAACATCAAAGCCATGATTAGTCTTTTTTATATGAAACCATCCTCAGATTCAGTTTTTTTAATCATGACACCTGGGGGTAGGGTAGGGCCACAATATGTACCTTAATTTTACATAAGGAATATAAAGGTAAAAATCTGCTGCTGAAAAACAGAGTCCTAGTTACTCAGGTGAGCATTGTGGTCCATGGGCTCATTTAAAATAATAATCATCAGGCAGGAAAAAGTGTTTGCATGCTTTTAATGAAGAACTACATGTACTCTTTTACCAAGGTTCAACATTCATGTCCCTTAGTCCATAATTTGTCAAGGACCCAGGGTGAGGCTCAGTGCTCATATATTTAAAATTCATTGTACAGTGGTTTTATGTGAAGAAAATATTATTTTAACATTTCCAAATCTTGAAATTTGAATGGAATTGGTATTGTTGAATTAATTGCATACAATTTCAGATTGTCCTGATTTCCTTTATGGCCTGACTTGCAAACGATGCAAGTGCAACCAACAATATTCCACAAGCTGCAACAAAACTACAGGGGAATGCAAATGTAAATCCGGGTACAGTGGTGACACTTGTGATTGTGTAGTGGGAACACATGCCTGCAATGCAACCATAGCTTTTTGTGGAGACCCAACCCCAACTTGTTATTGTAGAGACCAGTACAACAGGAGAGGCCTAAGCTGCACAGGTAAAAGAGTATAAATATTCCTTCTATCTCAAAATCATGAAGATTGACTAAATGGATATTTTATAAATCAACATTTGATGAAAGATGTCCAAAAAAAACCATAATATGATTTTATAAAATTCATTTTTCCACCAAAGGCAAGTTTTATTATAATTATCTTTTTTAGATAAACAGTTTTTCTACCTTGTTTAAGTATTATTCCGGTAATGACAACTTTATTTTCCAGATTCCATTAGATTTTATGGGAAAGTCAATAGTAGTGAAGGAGTTCTTCAAATTTACCAGAATCGATCTTGGAATACATTTTGTGACGACAGTTTCACAAAATATGATGCCCGTGTTGCATGCAGTCATCTAAATCTTCCGAAGTATGTACAAAAAGATATCTATTATTGTTATCTTTTAAGATTTTTTTTTACATATGCATTTTATTATAATTAAAATCTAATTTTATCTTACGATTATTTCTGCATTTTAGAGATTGTCTACTTGTAGGATATTTATAGCAATAGACAAAGCACATTTTGAAAGACAAATAATTTAAACTTTTTATCTCTCAAGAGGACAATCTGATATATATTACCATCAAATATATGCATCATTTGTCATAAAAAATATATAAGGAAAAATAATAGCAGATACATTTTCTTGAAGATTTTAAGAATGCAGTTTGAACACTGGTTAAGTAATCTGATATGTTCTTTTAAGAACTCCTTTAAACTGTAAATAAATATACTTTAGAAAGAAAAGTATCGATACTTTATACTTCAAAGATGATGCATTAAGAGTTGACAGTAAATTCGGTACTGATGTATTAATTTTGAATTAATATGCTTTCAGTCGATACGTAACATATAAAACCAGAGAGTATGACCAAAGAATTCGAAACACCTATGGAATAGGAATTGTGTACACCTTGCAATGTAATGGAAATGAAACAAGTCTTTCCGAGTGTGAGGGATTTAGCACACACGGATCCTACTGTTCACATGACGAAGATGTTTACCTGCAGTGTTTTTCTGGTAAGCCATTACACTATTGTACAGTTTAATACTATTTTTAGGTCACCTGAGTCACTCAGGTGACCTATTGCTATCTGTTTTCGTCCGTCGTCGTGCGGGTGTGCGTCGTGCGTAAACTTTTCACATTTTCGACTTCTTCTCAAGAACAACTGGGCCAATTTCCACCAAACTTGCCACAAACTATTCTTGGGTAAAGATGATTCAAGTTTGTTCAAATGAAGGGCCACGCCTTCTTCCAAGGAGATAATTAAGAATTAGTGAAAAATTAATGGTATCTTTTAAAAATCTTCTCCTCAAGAATCATTGGACCAGGTAAGATGAAACTTATATGAAAACATCCTCAGGTAGTGTAGACTCAAGTTTGTTAAAATCATGATCCCCAGGGGTAGGGTGGGGCCACAATGGACGATCAAAGTTTTACATAGAGATATACATGTATAGGAAAAATCTTTAAAAAATCTTCTCAAGAACAGCAAAGTCGTGATGAGTCATATTTATATGGAAGCATCCTCAGGTAGTGTAGACTCAAGTTTGTTCAAATCATGACCCCGGGGGTAGGGTGGGGCCACAATGGATGATCAAAGTTTACATAGAAATATATAGGAAAAATCTTTAAAAATCTTCTTCTCAAGAACAGCAAAGTTGTGATGAGTCATATTTATATGAAAGCATCCTCAGGTAGTGTAGACTCAAGTTTGTTCAAATCATGACCCCCGGGGGTAGGGCGGGGCCACGATGGACGATTAAAATTTAACATGGAGATATATAGAAAAATCTTTAAAAATCTTCTTCTCAGGAACAGCTAAGCCCTGATTGGTCATATTTATATGGAAGCATCCTCAGGTAGTGTAGATTCAAGTTTGTTCAAATCATGACCCCCGGGGTAAGGCAGGGCCACAATGGTAATCAAATTTTACATAGACATATATAGGAAAAATCTTTAAAAAATCTTCTCAAGAACAGCAAAGTCGTGATGAGTCATATTTATTTGGAAGCATCCTCAGGTAGTGTAGACTCAAGTTTGTTCAAATCATGACCCCGGGGGTAGGGTGGGGCCACAATGGATGATCAAAGTTTACATAGAAATATATAGGAAAAATCTTTAAAAATCTTCATCTCAAGAACAGCAAAGTTGTGATGAGTCATATTTATATGAAAGCATCTTCAGGTAGTGTAGACTCAAGTTTGTTCAAATCATGACCCGCGGGGGTAGGGCGGGGCCACAATGGACGATTAAAATTTTACATGGAGATATATAGAAAAATCTTTAAAAATCTTCTTCTCAGGAACAGCTAAGCCCTGATTGTTCATATTTATATGGAAGCATCCTCAGGTAGTGTAGATTCAAGTTTGTTCAAATCATGACCCCCGGGATAGGGCAGGGCCACAATGGATGATCAAAGTTTACATAGAATATATAGGAAAAATCTTTAAAAATCTTCTCAAGAACAGCAAAGTCGTGATGAGTCATATTTATTTGGAAGCATCCTCAGGTAGTGTAGATTCAAGTTTGTTCAAATCATGACCCCCGGGAGTAGGGTGGGGCCACAATGGACGATCAAAGTTTTACATAGAAATATATAGGAAAAATCTTTAAAAATCTTTTTCTCTGGAACAGCAAAGCCATGATTGGTCATATTTACATGGAAAAATTAGGTAGTATAGATTCAAGTTTGTTCAAACATGACTCTGGACTCTAGGGATTGGGTGGGGCCACAATGGACGATGAAATATTTACAAAAGCTCCTTCTATCAGTTTATTTTATACTCTATGGATCTTCTATGGATTGTTGTTTTATACTCAGGTGACCGTTAAGGCCCTTGGGCCTCTTGTTATGGTTTACAGTTAACAGTTACAGTCAGTTCGTATAGAGCTATGATTAAAAGTATCAGAATTACTTTTTACGTTATATATATATATATATATATATATATATATATATATATATATATATATATATATATATATATATATATATATATATATATATTTATTTATATAAAACATCAAAATTCTGCTGTCCATAAAATAGTTTAAAATGAATTCTTTTGTACACATTATACAGCATTATAAAATTAGACATCAGAGATTTTCTTTGTTTGTGATTGGTTTGCAACAAATTAAATTTATTTTAGATCAGTCGTTTCTTCAAACAAATACTCAGAAGTTGATATTAAAAAATGCTAGATTTCCTCATTGACAACAATCTTTCAATACCAGGTCTTCCTGCATTGAAACCTTTGGAATTCCGATGGAAAAATTATGTTCCTTTATTAACCCTACTATTTTATTCCTATCAAGCAGTATATATTTATTCAAAAACTTCTACATCAGAAGACTTGGTCAATATTATAAGCCCATGGGGGTGTGAAAGTCGACGGGGGGATACTTCTCCTGGGCATCTTATCCCACCTCTGTAATTTCCGGGAGTCTGTGTTTTATGCCCTGTTCACAGATTTGTTTTGTGTGGGTTTTTTTGATCGATCAGCGTTTATCTATACTTTTTTCATACACATGAAAAAATTAGTTAACCTGACTTCCTGCTAAGGTCTTTTTACTTAGTAGAAAAAGTGTTGTTTTTTTTTTGTTTTTTTGTTGTTGTTTTTTTTTTTGTTTTGTTTTGTTTTGTTTTTTTTTTTGATTAGTGTTAGTAAGACAATGAGAACCCAAACAAGTTGTTCATTGGAATTTAGTAAGAATTTCTATTGTGTTAATTTTAGACATTGAAAGAAAGCTGGTGAATTTGCCCTGGAATTGTGACACTTTCAACTCAATATATACCTAGTGTGTTGATTAGAACCATTACGAAAAAAAAATAAATCTTGAAAAAACGACTTTATTTTATTCATTCTATTTGTAAGAACAAGGCATTAATGTTATGCCTTACATTTATCTGAATTTTCTCCTGAACATTCATTCACGGCTAATGGGTATGAAACAGCTCAAAATTTTGTAATTCATTCCACAACGGTTTTTAAAATTAATTTCCTCAATAGTACGGGTACGTTCTTGTCAGTCATACATCGAATTTAATTGTGATCACATACTTTACTGATTTTTGGATTCATTTGAAAACATTTCTGTTAATTTTGTGTTGTCCTCATATCAAAATGTTAGCACAATTAAATATCAGATACAGGTTTCTAAACTTTAGCTGGTACCAAACAATTTGATCTTGTTTTCATTGCTTGCTGTATCTTTGGTAATCAGGAAAACCAGCAATTTATTTACAAATTTACGTACAGTTACTTTTTTTCTCTCTAAGTATATGTACCACAACTGGCGTAAAGTATTTTATTATGAATTTCTCAAATAGCCGTTGTTTTATTCATATAGAATGCCCTAAATGGACCCATGGAGATTTTTGTGAGGAAAGATGTGAATGCAACCAAACTAACAGTTTATCTTGTAATGAGGACACTGGGAAATGTACTTGTAAAACAGGGTACTTCGGTGACTTCTGTAATTGTATAACTGGTGTACATACTTGCGATCCAAAGATATCAGTCTGCCACACTAGCAGCTCGGGCAATGCCATTTGTCTCTGTAAACCTGGATTTTCAGAGAACGAGTACAAGAATGAAAAATGTCTAAGTATGTGCCTGCCTTTTAAGCAAATATTTCAATTCAATAGAATATTGAAGATGATAAATGTGATATACAATATATATATATATACATGTACAATGTGCAATGCACTTAAATATTCAGCATATTTTTATTGTATTTTAACAGAAGAACAGGTACGGCTGATCAATCGGACATCCTCCAAAGAAGGAGTGGTTGAAATATATCGATCTGGATCATGGGGAGGAGTATGTAAAAACAGAATGACTAAAAAGGATGTCCAAGTTGTATGTCGAGAGTTTGGTTTGCCTTGGTATGTTTTAATTTCTTATTTGTTATTTTTGGAAAATAAAACATCTCTCTAAAGTATTACCAAAATAATAAATCTGACATATGTATAACAGTTTAGAAGAAACGTTATCACTGTAGAAAATGCAGAGTTTCAGAATATTATTTAGAGCTTTATGATGAAAGTTTATCAGGTTTTTCTTTGAATTGTATTTTTAAAACGATTTGAATTATTATTAACAAAACACCATTTGTGCTAAAAATTAAATCGTTAATACCATATATGCTTTTAATTCGACTTTCACGTTACTTTTCAATAATTTGAGCTCTAGGAAAATTACTATGATTGTTTGTGATCATGTTTCAGGAATGGTGCTCAGTTAATTAGAAACATAGACACTGTACCAAGTTCCTACTTCAAATGGTCTAATATCAATTGCAATGGAACAGAACAAAGTCTCCTGGACTGTGAAAGAGAATATGACAGCAGCACTTACTGTTACAACGGACGGCCTGCAACAATAGCATGCCCCAATGGTAATGATCAAACATTTCCAAACAGGCATTTAATGGACAGCCGCCAAACCCCCTCCCAAAATAAAAAAAAAATCTCGAAAAAAAATGACAAAGTTAAAGAAAATACAGAAATAGGAAAGGTGCAACATGTAAAGGATAAGTTCTTTCTTTGATATTTGACAAAAAATGTGTCCAATAACGTTAAGTGACTCGGCTATTCTGCAAGAAAAATAATGTGAGGGGACAACTGGGTTTAAGCCAAAATTTCATACTTAACAGAAAAAAAGCATTCTTAGGAAAGTGTAGAAGACTGCTTTTTGTCCTTTTTTATGACAGACCTGACATTTTTTTAAAAAGCATTCACAAAGTTTGTCACAAATGTTTCATATTTGGATATTTCATTGGAAAAAGATGTTAATGGTAACCTAACAACAAGTAGAACTTTTTAAAAAAGCTTTGCCGTCTTTAGCGACAACCTTAAATGGTAAACTGACCTACACCTATCAGGCCATAATATTCTTGAGCATTTAATGGCTTTGTATTTCTTCATTAGCTTTTTACTGACATTAGCTCTGACCAGACCAGATGTCTAAATAAACTCCGACTTTGCTGCCAGGATTAGAATTGCAAAGGAGAGGGAAAAAAGAATAAATACAAGCTATAAAGCTTGCGTGCAATAAAGAACATTTATGTTTACAATGAAATATAGAAATGCTTTTTAGTAATTGCTAGAAAAACTAACGTGTTATTTAGAATTTACTGCCATTTTTTTCTGTTCGTTTTGTCAATTTTTTTACGATTGAAAATCTTGAAAAATTGTTAAGTCGTACGAAACTTAGATCATCAGAAAATTATCTTCCTTGCCTTGAGCAACATTTCAACCAATGAAATAGTTGAAAATTTTCACATCATGCAATTTCTACCAATCACAAAAGAGAGGAAGTGCATAGTCCGAAGACTGTAAAATACTTCAACTCTGTATACTGTCTTCCAAGGAAGACGGTAACGAAACTTTATGATAAACGTGATGACTTTATCTTTTCTATCGTTAACTTTCCTTACTTATGTAGCAATATACCCTTATCGGCTGCATACGGGGTTTATGTCTCCTGTTTCATTCGATACACAAGAGCATGCTCTAATTTCTAAAATAGAGGCAACCTATTTACAAACAAGTTGATGAAACAAGAATATCAACAGTCCCGTTAAAAGTCACCATTTTGCAAGTTCTATGGTCGGTACAATGCCCTGTCAGCAAGTACAATCTTATCATTAAGTCGAATGTTGACTTACCTTTTCATATTGATTGTCTGGCCATTTTTTACACATTGAATTGAGTCGCCCGCGTGGCACATTGGTAAGAGGGTTTACTCTACAGTCGCAGAGTAAAGAGTTGATCCCACTGCATGACGTTTAGACCGGTCTTTCGGACGAGACCGTGTAAATCGAGGTCCCGTGTCGCGGTAGGTGCTGGCACGAAAAAAGATCCCTCACAGCTCAGTGGCCCTGAGTGCCGAGTATAGCTCTAAATTCGCAGCCCTCAATCGGCAAATGTTGGCGTCTCGATATTAGTGAAATTCTCGAAAGGGATGTTAAACAAACAAATACACTGAATTGTCTACGGATTTTTTCCGTTTTTCAATCACAACAAGGAGCAGACGGCGAATGTGACCGGTCGACAGCGAATGCTTACTCCTCCATGGCAACTGATCCCACCTCTGATGATTTTAGAGGTCCATGTATGCTCTGCTCCCGATTTGAATTGCTTCAATGGACTTTTGAGCTTGATTACTGTTTGTTATCTCCATGTATCATGCTAATTATCATTTTTAAAAAAAAGATTTTATTGTGTTTAAAAATGTTGATCACAGGATGAACCTGCACCATTCAGTTGACTGAATGGTCACTGAAAAGTCTTGAAAGGACACTGCATGGCAGATCTAGAGCTCTACCATCCAGTCATCTTTCAGTAGGCTTTCAGACATCTTTCAGTTATGTGAATGGCAGAATTACATCCTGTGGATGAAATATAACGTATTGATCTAACCAGGAAGGAAAGCATCTCGATCTTTACCTTCCCGATATAATTTTAAAATGGTGAAAGGTATTTTCAACCAATATACAAAGTAAGTTTAAAAAAAATTTCAAAAAATTTCAATTCTTTTAAAATCACCTTACTTGAAAAGATTTGTAACATAAAAAAGAATAACAACAGACAAGAAGAAGCATTTGATTTTGAATGGTATACTAGTAACTCGATACTTATGAGACAGTTTTAAGACTTTGTTTACATTTTACTAGTAATTCCAAGCCCTTCCGATAACAAATTTGATTGAATGAGTTTTAGGGATAAAAGAAATTACAGATAAATCTACAAATGAGGTAATAGCTTTATTACCTCTTTAAGAGGGAAATTTGGCTGGTTTATTTGATGAAATATTGAAAGTATATTAGCTTATATGTCTTTTATACTTAGATGTAAGGGATTTAAAAGAAATGGTAAACTGAGTTTGAAATCTAGCAGGTACTACAGAACGGCGGCGTATGAAAATATCTCCTTTTCTGCTTTTCAGAATTACTACTAAACAATAAATGTTACTAAAACTTTTAAACAATCAAAGATTGAAATATTTAATGTAAATTATATTAACAATAATAGATTAAAGTTTTAAAATATTACTCAGTTCTTGAAACCTATGAAAACCTAGTTCATAGGAAACCTAGGTGACATTAAGACTGATACTTATGCAAAAGGGGAAGCAGCTAAATTTATTAATCGGTAATATAAAAACTTAAATAAAATTTAAAATGCATCATATCTTCTAATTGCTTTCTTCTTTAGTAGCAATATATTTATTTCCAGAACGTGCATTCAATTAAATGGTTGAATAGTTTTTTGAACTGTATTTACAGTGTATATATCATAACTTCAATAAACTTACAGATAATGACAATGTAGTACTAGTACAAGAGTCGTCGTGTAAAATCGTTGACAAAGCATTTTTATCAAAATATAATGGGCGCATTAAGCTGTAATTTTCAGCAAATGTTTTTTTTTTTAATCATTTTTCAGTGCATTCAATTTTTTTTTATAAAATAAGACAAAATTAAAGATTTTATTATGCTTGAATATGCATAGGGTACGGTCCTACGGCGCACTATTAAAAAACCAGCTTTCTTAAGAAATTTGCAAGTTGCGTGAGATATAATGTTTTTTACCCGTCCGTCAGTCAGTCAGTGTGTCAGTCAGTCAGTCCGTCAGTCCTGTTTTTTTTTTGTCAGCGCAACTCCTCATAAACCGCTGCACAGAATTTGGTCAAACTTTGCAGATATTTAGCACACAATATGTAGATGTGCATATTACCAGGAAATTCCGATTTCTTTATTTTTCTGGGAATTTCGGCACTTTTCAACTTAGATTTTTGGCCATATCTTGAATATAGAGATGAACAGTTTGTCAGCGCAACTCCTCTTAAACCGCTGCACAGAATTTGGTCAAACTTTGCAGATATTTAGTACACAGTGTGTAGATGTGCATATTACCAGGAAATTCCGATTCCGTTAATTTTGCCTTAGGAGTTTTGCCTATTATTGAAGAATCTTTCCAGCTAGGTAATAAGGAAATCCACTGGAATCAGCTTTCGTAATGAAATTTTATGTGAAATATTTTATGACTTTAAAAGAACCCTATTGATTTTAGGATCAAAATATTAACTACATGTTTTTAACACACACACACACACATACAAAATCTTGGATAGTTCTCACCCCCCCCCCCCCCCCCTCAAATTGGTGTTTTGCCTTAACTGATTTCATAAGTACAGGATATAAACAAATTCATATGACTATATCATAATTTTGTTTCCATCAATTATTTAAATGTGTAAATTGTCATGTGTTGGACATGGACTTACACTCATGAACAAATCGAAATCACTGAGGAATTTAAGCAACAGTTTGTCAGCATAACTCCTGCACTGAATTTCCTGAAACTTTGTAGGTATTTCAGATATAATGTATAGATTTGTATATTACCAAGAAATTTTGATTCCATTATTTATCTAGAAACTTCAGTCCAATTAAATTTGTAACATACAAAGATTTGAATGTCCGTATATGCAAGTAGTTTTGATGTGAGGATTTTTTGCAAGTAATGCCCCTTTTTGAATTATACTGTGTATTTAAAATGCACTGTGCCATTCATTACGTGTTGCATTGTCGAGTTTTGGGGGAGCGTGGGGTATGTGAGCTTGCTCGCTTTTTCTTTCATTCGAAATAAAAGTATTAAAAACTTATTCTATTTCTAATCCACTATCTATTATGTCCTATTATATTTAGAGAAGATATGTGGTCTTTATCAAATATACAAGCACAATCAAAATTATTGCTTTTTTCCCGTTTGCCTTTTGTTTAACATCGACTTTATATAAAGACGATATCTTTGTTAATTTAAATTTTGCTCTGAACTTTCTTAAATATTAACAATGACACGCATGTTTATTTCGATTTCTTCTTGCACTAGAACCATGGATACGGCTAGTATCGAAACAAACAACAAATACAGAAACCAGTGGAACTCTTCAAATTTATCACAACAAAGAATGGGGTTATGTTTGTGAAAGTGGATTTGATGAGGATGATGCTGAAGTAGCCTGTCGAGAACTGGGGCTGCCAACGTAAGGGATTTTACACTTGCGATTTGTTTTAATATTCTTTTACATTATGTTAAAAAAAATATTTTAAATGATATGAACGTTGAATAAGGAATTTACCCTAACAACAATTATGCAACTTTTAAAAATATTGCTTTAGTTAAGTGTATTTAAACCTATCTAAAGATTTTTATTTTTATTTATAAAACGTATCTGGTACTAAATAATTTATTAAAGGTCGGGCGGCACGCTCCTCAGTAACATTTTTTTCCATGTATTAGGAAATATCATCGAGATAAAACTCTGTATAATACCAGATTGAACTAAAACGCAAATGAAATGTCGCTTGACAAAAGCTGATTGGAGATTTTAAATGCTGAAAAACGTTATTTTAACGAAAATTTCTTTCTGAAACTTTCTATTGTATGTCTTTGTCAAGTCACGATAGTTTTACTGTTGAATACATTTTGATATTCTGTTTATGACAATGCAATGGCCTCTGGTGCAGCAGACTTTTGAAAACAATAGATTATAAAATAAGGCAATATTTGGTCAGGCAAACGTTATTCAGCAGACTAAAGGTTCAGTATCCAACAATTCTAATTTTTCAACCAATTTAGTCTTACTGGGATGTAGGACCTTAGTTTCGTTTAAATTGAACACGCCAAATGCTGGCCAGAGGCCAAAGTTGGTTGCTGATGCATTCAAGATATCACACCGGTAATTGTTTTCACTATATAATTCTATATAGAATAAAAAATCATTAAAAATCAGGTTTTCGAATTGATGAAAAAATATTTAGCAGGAAGTGTTAAAAGTTACCAGTCATATCAGCTGACACCAAAAAATAGGGTACGTACACGGCATTTTCTGATTTTTTCCATCCGTAAATAGGAATACCCTCAAAACCACGTGTATTCAATGTGTTTATAAACATCCTGTGTGCACCCCAGGAAGTGGCCTCCTATGCCCCGAAAGAAATAGTTCCTGTCAAAAACCTTTAATATGTTACAAAGTACATAAAATATCCTAAGCACAGATACCAAAAATGTAAAAAAAAAAAAAAAAAAAAAAAAAAAAAAAAAAAAAAAAAAAAAGAATAAGGGAAAATATAAAATTTCTCACAATAAAAAAAATATTTCTTTATTATGTATGGAACTACAGTTGACTAAGTTCATTTTGATTGGTTAATTACTGGTGTGATACTTTCAGTTGCAATATTTAAACCATATTACGCTTAAGATAGTCGCCTGCGTGGCGCAGTGGTTAGAGTGTCTGCTCTAAAGTCGCGAAGTAAGGAGTTGATCCTTACGTCGCGGGTTCGAATCCCACTGTGCGACGTGGAGACCGGTCCTTCGGATGAGACCGTATAAACCGAGGTCCCATGTCGCAGTAGGTGCTGGCACGAAAAAGATCCCTCACTGCTCAATGGCCATAAGTGCCGAGTATAGGACAGAATTTGCAGCTCTCCACCGGCAAGTGGTGGCGTCTCCATATGAGTGAAAAATTCTCGAGAGGGACGTTAAACAACATACAAACAAAAAACGCTTAAGATATTGCAATTGAAACAAACAGGCCGTCAGATTGTTCACGAAGCAGTAGTCAAAGGCAACGTCAGGAGAGGTACAATCTTCATAAGCGCTTACATGATCAATTTTCTACAACACAGACAGCCTAACAGACAAAAGGATTCCTCAAGAAATCTATCCGTCGCATAAAACTGCTCTTAACCACAAACTGTTCCACCCGGCCAAGGGTCCGGTCCTCACACCTAAACACCACCAGGAACGCTTACAATGGACCATAGATGGGCACTGTGTCATCAGCTGTGGCAAACATCATCTCTGACAAACGTCAGTATTGCATATCTATCGCAGAAGAATGTTAAAGGGTATGGCGCAAGACATGGACAACGTTATTCAGACAAATGTACATGTAGTAAGAAAGGGACTCCTGAGGTTGATCAAGCATCATGTAATGTGTCATTGGACTGTTCCAAAAACTTGGACCCGTTGCCAATCCGTTGCCCTTCAAAATGTTTTTCCATGTAGGGGCATATGTGTAACAGCTGCGCGATATTTTGAACAGAATCTTCGACCCCATATAGTGCTGCAGTTTTCTCGATACCAAATTCTCTATTCCAGCAAGACATTGTTTGTGCACCCTAGCTAGACGCCTCAATAATTTCCACTCAAGGCATCTCCCGATTCACTTCATGCATGTCCAGACGTTTTATTGCTGTGACTGACGCTAATGGGAGACAAACGCGTCTTACATGATTTTAAGTAGATTGCACCTGACTGTCTCTCGAAAGATATAAGGAGTCAAATAAATGTTATTTTACTTATTTGTCCCTGTTATATGATTTTTTTTTATTTTGAGGATTGATACACGCTGTAGTAGTTCTCTGATATGCATATTTGGACGAGACGATTTTTTGCATTTGGTTATTGTCAATGTATAGGCAGATAGCATTGCGCTTGCATGCATAATATTTTGTAAAAACTCTAATCAACAATAAAAAAGTTTCGAAAATGTATTTCACTGTATAAAAACACATACGATGGACAATCATAATGGACTAAAAATTGAATTTTGTAGAGTTCTTAGCAACACTATTCTTGTTAGCTTCAGTACATTAAAATACTTTTAAAACAGGAAATATGTGCAAGAAAAATCTGGAAGTACATCTTACATGAGTGCCAAAACACACCTAAAGTATGTCAATTGTAATGGTAATGAGGAATCTCTGTCAGACTGCTCGGCAGACAATGGGAGCTACTGTTCGAGTTATAGGTACACCAGGGTTTGGATCTCGTGTGATAGTGGTAAGATTCAACAACTTTGTCTTTAATCTAAAGTTACTACGAAAGAAAAAAAAACCTTATTAGATTACTCAAAATAATCTGTTTTATCTTCTGTCCATCTATTCGATTGTGGTTAAAAATCAATTTTAAATGTAGTACGATCACCAAACTTTGATTTTTTTAAAAGTCTGTTTAAATTGGATGCTGAAAAACGTACTCCAACGTGGATGAAATTGGTGTATTTAGCAATAATCCCCCCCTTTTTTTTTTTTTTTTGCTTTTGCTACATATATTTGTAACTATTAGTTTGTGAATTAATTCATCTGTCATCAAATGAATAGGGATATAGTGATTTTGGTTGTTCCTGGAAAGTACTGCATTTCACTGTAAATATTTTGATTGTTGACATGTTGGTATCAGAAGTCTTTGACTGAAAACAAGGGTCACTGATGGAACCTTTTAGTAAACCATAACATACTTTACAAACATATTTAAAAAAAGGATTAGTATTATTATTTATTTAAACCAATACCAGCTTTTTTGACAGCCTTGTGAAAGTTATCTATGCCATTTTAAGTATAAATAAAACATTTAACTTGAAATAAAGCTTTTTCTAGAAACTGCTTAGCCCAGAAATTGTAATACTTAAAAAAATGTAGAAATATACTTGATCAGTTGCTTTGTAAATGATCCATTTTATTTTCTTTTTTGTGTAATTTAATACAATTACCATAAATTTTCCTTTCTTAAAATAATTAGTTTTCGTGGTCATTTGTCTGAATTTTCTTCATTTGACTTATTCCATCAATGTTGAAGAAACCAGTTTTTTTTAGAATGCCCTCACATGAAGTATGGCGACAACTGTGAGGAAGACTGTCCATGTAACAGCTATAATACTGCTTCTTGTGATATGGAAACTGGAGAATGTATATGTAAGCCAGGGTATACCGGGTTTTCCTGCAATTGCCAAGTTGGTCGTCATACCTGTAACACAAACGTTTCTGATTGCTACGAGGAATCGAATAATGTATTGTGCATTTGTAAGAAAGGTTTTACGAAATCAGACCACAATTGCACAGGTAAGGAAAATGTTCTTCTCTTTGCTGAAGATGTATTTAAATATTTTCTCTACAAGTATTGCTATGGAAACTTCAACTTTTCAATCAAGAAGACAGTGATATTAAAAATAAATGAAACAAAACTACAAAACAGATTATACATTTATTAGGGCCCCGCTCTGCGGGTGCCCTATAGTGATCAGTCTGTCCGTCCATCCGTCCGTCTGTCCATCCGAGATCTCTTGTTGAAGATTTTATCAAGAGAAAAAATTATAAACAAAATATGATATTTATCTTTAAAATATTGATATAAAATAAGTAAAATATCTGACTTTTCTTGACATTGTTAGATATTTATATTATGCATTAATTAACTGCAAATTTGAAGCTCTCAAGTGTCTTATTTGCAATATTTAATTTTTTTCTTCTTCTATTTTCATTAAAATAAATGCTATAAAATCGTTAAAAATAATTTCGAGCTTAAATTTAACTTTCGATGATGAAATCATATTTCCTAAGAGACACTTCAAATGTTCATTAATTAAAGTTTGGTGTGGCATTCCTCCTTAAAGTTGTACCTATATGTATTCACTATCATTAAAAAGGTTTTTTGTGATATTGACTGTAGTATTATTTTGATGATTTGATTTATTCAGTGCTCGTCGTTACGTCTTCAGCATCTCTACATAGTCGCTTCATGTCATTTCTTAAATATCATCTACCAGCAGAAAGCTACTGAAATTTAATAAATGTCAGTCATTAAGATTCTTGTACCCTAAATTAGTCCTTGAGTATGGTAAGCTGTCTAATACTTCATTCAATATTTTTATGCCCCGCCATGAATATGGCCGGGGCATATAGTGTTTGTCATGTCATGTCTGTCCTTCCATCCTTCCGTCTGTCCTTCCGTCACACTTTGCGTTTAGCTCTGTTCAAAGCTCAGTTTCAAAGAAACTATCCATGATATTTTTATCAAACTTCATATGCTGATAGATATTGATGAGAGCTATGCAACTGCATCAATATTTTTTGACCTTGACCTTTCCTTTGACCTTGACCTCACTTTTCTTGAATTAGTGTTTAGCTCAGTTTTAAAGATACCATTCAAGATAGTGTAATCAAACTTCATTTGCTGATCCATACTGATGAGAGCTATTCAACTGCATCAACATTTTTTGACCTTGACCTCACTTTTCTTAAATTAGTGTTTAGCTCAGTTTTAAAGATACCATTCAAGATAGTGTAATCAAACTTCATATGTTGATACATACTGATGTAAGTTATTCAACTGCATCAACATATTTTGACCTTGACTTTCTTTTGACCTTGACCTCACTTTTCTTAAATTAGTGTTTAGCTCAGTTTTAATGAAACCATTCAAGATATTTGTAACAAACTTCATATGCTGATATATACTGATGGGAGCTATTCAACAGCATCAATATTTTTACCTTGACCTTTCCTTTGACCTTGACTTCACTTTTCTTAAATAAGTTTTTAGCTCAGTTTTAAAGATACCATTCAAGATAGTGTTATCAAACTTCATATGCTGATACATACTGATGAGAGCTATTCAACTGCATCAGTATTTTTTGACTTTGACTTTTCCTTTTACCTTGACCTCACTTTTCTTTAATTAGTGTTTAGCTTAGTTTTAAAACCATTCATAATATTTTTATCAAACTTCATATGCTAATACATACCGATGTAACCTTTCAACTGCATAAAAAAAATTTTTTTTGACCTTGACCTATCATTTGACTTTGACCTCACTTTTCTTAAATTTGTGTCAAACTTCATATGCTGATACATACTAACGTAAGCTATTCAACTGCATCAGTATTTTTTCACCTTGACCTTTCCTTTGACCTTGACCTCACTTTTCTCAATTTGTGTTAAAATGTTGCATTACTAATATACCCTCGGCGGGGCATTCATGTCCTATGGACATATTTCAGTTATATAGAGCGATAAAATGATAACCTTTCCTTATGATTGAAGGATATTCGAAGGCAAATGTCCTTTTCTTTTGGGTTAGTTGAAGGTCGAAGTCCCATGTTTGGAAATTTGCTATTACATGTATCATCATACAGTAATGTGATAGTCATTTGATTATTGATTGATTTTGGAAAGATGATTCAATTAGTTGAGTTAAAAATGTAGAAATTATATAAACTTCATTGGTGGAGAACAACTTATATAATTTTGTTAATTTTGAAGACATTTTTTTCCCATTTTGATAATTCATTTGCATATACACTTAAACGTACACAGTTTTCATAGCTAATATAGTTTCATGTTATGTTCCAAGGTAAGGTCAAAAGCTTATAAGTATCAAACTGGATGTAAAATGTAATTTTTTATGATGTGATGACAATTATATATCCTTTTCTCACAGACAATGTGCGCTTAGATCCGGACAAACTGGTGCAAGTCTTCGAAGGTGATGGATGGGATGGTATCTGTAATAACAATTTGAAAGACAATGCTATTGTTATCTGCCGTCATCTTAACCTAAGCACGTACGTATATTAGAATCTGAAAATTCAAAACAGATTTTTGAGTGTATTGCAAATGAAGCGTCATATGTAGCTTCATATGATCCCTATTTCACTTTTATTCACTTTGTACATACAATTTTAAAGGGACAAATCACTGTACATATACTAATCAAAATTACATTCGTGACAATCAATGTGTCAGTGTGATCTTACCGGAAGTTTCATGTGTCCGGAAGTGAAACAGACTTGAATAGTCAACAGTCAAACGTCGGGTAACTACTGCTCGTCAAGATCGTTACATGCTTGCGCATATGAGAAATCTGGTCTCACGGGTTGATCGTTTGATGACTAAGGCTGTTCCTTTAATTCCATCAGTAATTCAACCAATATCAATTAATAAAGATCGAAATAAATGACTATAATACAATGAAAAATTTAATACATATTAGTTGTTTAAAAACAATCTTTAGATATGATTTCCAGTTATATGACAAAATGCTTAACAACATTGATACATGTAGTTCTCATTAGACTGGAGAGTCAGAGGTTTTGATTAGTATATGAATACAGCTCAAAGTAAATCCACGTGAAGGTTGGCAGTATTTAATTTTGTTTTGCCAAAGATCTATTTTACTGTGAACGCATCTTATTATTTAATGGAAAATGTCATTCTTTCAGGGAAGTTGTATATTCAACATCAAAGTATAAGAGGTATGGATATACCAGGAAATCGGTCAGTTGTATAGGAACAGAGGATATGCTGTCGGAATGTCCTTCAAGAACTGGCTCCTCCTGCTCGTACAGTCCAGTCGTCCACTGTGGTGGTCAGTCTCACATTTTACATCTGATGTTTGAAGTCCTCTCTGTTCTGCAAAAATTTGTAAGGTTTAAATGGACTTTTGAGCTTTATGAGTGTTTGTGAATTTTGTATTTCCTCTTTAAAGAAAGATCTTTATGTGTAAGGGAAAACTGTTTTTCCTGCAAAGCAGTGATATTAGGGAATTACTTATACTTAAATATCTAAAACCCAAGGATTAAATTTCTCATTTTGACACATTTAAACCTTTGTTCTCTTTCAATCATTTTGTAGATTTTTTGTAATTTTTAGCTCACCTCGACGAAGTCGAAATGAGCTTATGCTATACCCCCGGCGTTGGCATCGGCGTTAGCGTCGGCGTCCCGGTTAAAGTTTTGGGAGCAAGTCTATTCCCAAGTAACTATAAGCCCTACCTGGACCAAACTTGCATGGATGATCCATCTAGGGATGGACATTCCCAGACTTGCTTCAGATGCTGGATCTGACTTACATTTTCCAGATGAGTGACCAGGTTTAAGTTTTTGGAGCAGGTCCATTCCCAAGTAGTAAAAAACCCTTCCTGGACTAAACTTGCATGGATGATGCATCTAGGGATAGACACTCCCAGACTTGCTTCGGATGCTGGATCAGACATATATTTTCCAGATGAGTGTTCAGGTTAAAGTTTTTGGAGCAGGTCCATTCCCAAGTAAATATAAGCCCTACCTGGACCAAACTTATATGGATGATGCATCTAGGGATGGAAACTATCAGACTTGCTTCGGATGCTGGATCTTACCTACATTTTCCAGATGAGTGACCAGGTTAAAGTTTTTGGAGCATGTCCATTCCAAAGTAACTATAAGCCTTATCTGAACCAAACTTGCATGGATGATGCATCTAGGGATGGACACTACCAGACTTGCTTCGGATGCTGGATCTGACCTACATTTTCCAGATGAGTGACCAGGTTCAAGTTTCTGGAGCATGTCCATTCCCAAGTAACTATAAGCCCTACCTGGACCAAACTTGCATGGATGATGTATCTAGGGATGGGCACTACCAGACTTGCTTCGGATGCTGGATCTGACCTACATTTTCCAAATGAGTAACCATGACAATGTGTTTGGAGTAGCTCTATAATTATATGGTCTGTTATGATTTAACTTGCATAGATGGTGCATTCCAGACTTGCTTCGGATGTAGGAAATGAAAGACTTTTTCTTGATTAGTGAACAGGTTTAAGTTTTTGGAACAGGTGAATTCCCAACGAACTGTAAGACTTACTTACACAGAACTTGCATGAATATTGTTTCAGGATGCACACTAACTATAAAGAAAATATGATGTGAGATTTGCATTACTTTTACTGATAACATTCGTCGAGGTGAGCTTCGTAATCTTTGATTACCTATGTTTTTCTTTGAGGAGATCTTCTTGTGTAGCATATTAATTTTTTTATGTGAATGTGACATTCCCAAGCTATTCCATTATTTACTTACTTAATCCTCTTCGTACTTTGAGCACACAAGGCCTGTATGTTTTCCATTGTCATATCATTACGTGCTCAAATATACTGATATCAGTAATTTTTAATGAAATTGAGTAAACAAAAAAGCTTATTATTACAAACACCATCTTAAACATGTGTATTGTTTCTAATGGTAATGTTTAGGTAAAGCACAATCTGAATTCACGATTATCTTCCAGGGATCTGATGGGCCATATTTCAAATTATATGTGTAAAAATCTGTACGTGTTTTTTTTTTTTTTTTTTTTTTTTTTGAAATTATACATATGAAGAGGGGTTGTGCGTCTTTGAACAATATATAAAGGTTAAAAAACAAATTTGGAAAAAAATTGCATAAAAAAAAATTCGTGTTGTGTACTACCTTAAACCATTTCAGTAATGGTCATAAAGGTTTAAATGGGGCACGAATGAGGTTTACATTTACACTAGATAAAAAAAAAAAACGTTTTCAAATCCATATGAGCATTTAATTTTCATGTTTTGCTTGAATTTTCTCCCTTTGAGTAGAAGTGTATCACAGTAGGGTGTATGGTTTAACTTTGTAACTTGTGCACAGGAAACCTTCGTACATTTTTGTGCAAACATTGTTATGAAATTATGAAGAAAATTTGAGATAAGCTTAAATATTGGTCTCCTTTGATGCAACAATCAAATTTTCTCATGATTTCATTAAAGAAATAAATCCTTTAATTTTTAACGAACAAAGACACAGATAAATCATTGCATCACGGAAGAGACATTATTTGTCGAAATGCGCATCTGGTGCATCAAAATTGATACCGTATATGATTTACATAAATGTGATTTTCAGTTATGAATAAATTGAACACATGGACAGGGCTACACTAGGAGGTAAGCTTTCATAGTAACCTTTGGTGGCCCCTATAAACAAAAATGAAAAAAAAAATATGAATACATCTATTTTAATGGCAGCATCTTCATATTTTGAATAATTCAACAAGTCATGACCCTATTGACATAATATATTGTTATTTTACATGGTAATGTTTTTCTTACACATATATAGTTTTCTTATGTTTTTATTCAAGGTTCGCATTTCTTAGGAGAAGGATTTGTTGATATTCTAAGGATTAGCTTAATACCCTTTAAGTCCGACAGATTACACCCCAATCTGCTAAAATGACATTACTTTGGAAAAAAAAAACCGTATGTTGAGGAGAATCAAATGTATCCATGTCGTAGGGTTTTGATTCCATAATGGATGTTCTCTCAGACTTTCATACTTAAGATAGATACAAAGTAATTAGTCTTGGATTTTGTTTTTTATTTTACATTTCTTTTTAATGAGACGTAATCGCATTTGTTCCGTGCAAGAAGTAATTTTCTTTTCATTCAATTTCAGACCTTTTTAAAGAGGTATTGGTGGTGAAAATTTGGAAGTTCCTAAAGAGAGTTCACCATATTTAACATGTTTAATTTTAGAGTGCCCAAAATGGAGATATTCTAAAGACTGTTCAGAGACATGTGACTGTGACAGGGACACTAGTACTGGGTGTGATTTTAGAGACGGAACCTGTTCTTGTCGTGACGGTTTTACAGGGGACGATTGTAGCTGTCATATATCTACAGCTCCATGCTCGGGATCGTCTTCTAAATGTAAACTTGACAGGTGCATCTGCAAAGAAGGATCCTTCAATCATTCGGCATCTTGTTCAGGTATTTAAAATTATATTTTGAGAATTAAAGTAAAGGAAATAATTATCACCAACACATTACAAGTCACATATGATAAAACGAGTACATATATTTAATCTTTTGGATTTATGTCTCTGTCATGAATTGCATTTTCAAAAATTATGTGAGTTCGTTTTTTGATTATTTTTTTTCTGTTCATTGTACATTTTTCGCTCACCTGAGCCGAAGGCTCAAGTGAGCTTTTCTGATCAAAATTTGTCCGTTGTCTGTCGGCGTTGCCGTCGCCGTTGTTGTCGCTGTAAACTTTTCACATTGTCATCTTCCTCCCTAGAACTACTTGGCCAATTTCAACCAAACTTGGCACAGAGTATTCTTGGGTAAAGGGGATTCAAGTGTGTTCAAATGAAGGGCCAAGCCCTCTTCCAAGGGGAGATAATTATAGATTAGTGAAAAATTAATGGAATCTTTTAAAAATCTTCTTCTCAACAACCAGTGGACCAGGAAAGATGAAACTCATGTGGAATCATTTTCAGGTAGTGTAGATTCAAGTTTGTTCAAATCATGACTCCCAGGGGTAGGGTTGGGCCACAGTGGACGATCCAAGTTTTACATAGGATTATATAGCAAAAATCTTTAAAAATCTTCTTCTCAAGAACAGCAAAGCCATGATTGGTCATAGTTATATGGAAGCATCCTCAAGTGGTGTAGATTCAGATTTGTTCAAATCATGACCCCCGGGGTTAGGGTGGGGCCACAATGAACGATCAAAGTTTTACATAGGAATATATCGGAAAAAAATTAAAATTCTTCTCAAGAACAGCAAAGCCATGATTGGTCATATTTATGTGGAAGCATTTTCAGGTGGCGTAGATTCAAGTTTGTTCAAATCATGACCCCCTGGGGTAGGGTCGGGTCACAATGGACAATCAAAGTTTTACAAAGGAGTATATAGGGATTTTTTTTTTTTTAAATCTTCTTCTCAAGAACAGCAAAGCCATGATTGGTCATATTTATATGGAACCATCCTCAGGTGGTGTAGATTCAAATTTGTTCAAATCATGTCCCCCGGGGGTAGGGTGGGGTCACAATGGACAATCAAAGTTTTACATAGGAATATATAGACGAAATCTTCTCAAGAACTGCAAAGCCATGATTGGTTATTAACTATTTGGATATATCCTAAGGTAGTGTAGATTCATGTTTGAAAAAAAAAAACCATGACCCCCCTGGGGATAGGGTGGGGCCACAATTGATGATTAAAGTTATGCGTACGGATACATAGGGAATTTTTTTTAAAAAATCTTCTTCTCGAGAACAGCAAAGCTATGATTGGTCATAATTATATGGAAGCATCCTCAGATAGAGTAGATTCAGAATTGTTCAAACCATGACCCCTGGGGGTAGGGTAGGACCATAATGAAAGTTCAAATTTGTAGGGAAAAAAGTCACAGACAAAGAAATATGTAAGCATTTTTAATTAGTGTAGATTCAATTTTGTTCAAATCATACACCCCCACCCGTTCCTTTTTAGGGGGTAGGTCGGGACCACTTATGCATTAAAGCTTTTCAATACTGAACTGATTTTTGCTTTTTTCCTAGCCACAGCGCTTAGGTGAGCTATGTGTCCCTTGGGCCTCTTGTTGAATTATCTTACAAAATTGTGTTTACGCAGATTAAATGATTCATGAGTTGTCCACTAACATGCTAGTCTCTGATATTCTTTACATGCAGGTTAAATTTCCAAACAAAAATAACCAAGAAATTACCATTTGCCAAATCTGTGCTATATTTTCCCCATAGTATCACTCCTATATACTTTGTTTATGATTCGTAGATGTTTAAGAGAAATCCTTGTTATAATCATATTCGAATGAATATTTTTTACCAATGTTAATCAAAGAAATATTATTTGTACAAAAGCAATAAATTCCAAAGAAAAGATTCACTATTATAAAATTTCATATGCTAACCTTAATTATAACTGAATTAATATATTAATAATTAAATGATGCTGGCCAAATGTGAAAATTTTTATCACTCCAAATATGACCAGTTCTAGATGTACGTAAAATGGTCATTTCCTGAAAAATTCAGTCCACTTGTGTTAGTTGCCCGTATCATCTCTCTCTCTCTCTCTCTCTTACATTTTTTATTTCACATTGATGCCTTATTATTATTAATATTATTTATTTTTTTTTATAGATTTTTCTGACGTCATATTCTTTTGCTCTTTTGAAAAGTATTCATGGAAAGACACGTGCAGCATTGAAACGTCAAATTCACGTTTGTACCGAAACTCTGTAAGTGTATTTCAGTTGTTTGTAGAATCTAGTAATAAATGCTATTTTTAGTTATCAAGAAGATCAGTATTTTCTTTCCCAAAAGAAAAAAAGAAAAATCTTCTTCTCAAGTATCAATAGGCCAATTTCAACCACACTTGCCACAAAGCATCCCAGGGTAAAGGGGATTTTTTTTTCTCAATGGAATAGACACCCTTTTTAAAAGTCGCTTGGTCCCAATGTTATGATTAAAAAAATATATATATTTCTGTTTGTTTGTGAAAATTATTCTTACCAGAAAGATTCCAATTTCTTAGAAATATATTTTCAGCATTTGTTATTTTAAAAGGTATTAAGGCCAAAAAAAAATTAATCAATAGTTTCTCAGGCACCGCCGCATCAGGTCAAAAACGGCCGTATTGATCAATTTTATTGACATTTTGAAAAGGGAAATAACTCAATTTTATATTTTTCCAAGTTGAAAAAGAAAATTGAGTTATTTCCCTTTTTATAACAATAATAGATAGACGTTTTTATTAGATAAACAATATTCTTCAAGTCTATACAGTCCTTTATTAATTAACTTTTAAAGAAATATTTAGAATAACATAATTTAAAGTTGAGTACATTATAATTAGTATATTAAGAGAACAAAAAAGTGAGAATCAGTTAATATCATCATTTTATTGAACGACTGACATGAGAAAAAGATAGCTGCTTTAAAAAGAAAAAAAAAATCCCTGCCTGCCGCATTGAATTTTGAAATTTTTGGCCTGAGAAACTATTAATTAATTTTTTATGGCCTAATATATTGAAGTTTAAAAAAGTAATTTTTGTTGGTTCACACAAAAAATAGAGAGAATGCAAAGCTTGCTCATGTTCAGTGGCTTTGTAAATAAATCGCACGATTGAAGTCAAAGAGCACGTGGTAGTCCAAAATCTGAGCGTTAAAAAAACACAAATCCGAATTGGTAAAAAAAAAAATAAATTAAATTACGAAAGCAGCGTATATTTACATAGGAAAACACAATAGGTGGGTACTTGAGGGAATTAATTGCCAGGGTTGAACTGCAATTATGAACGATACAATTATGTCAAACGGTAATTTCAAGTGTTTCTCACCTCAGGGTTTGTTTTACATTCTTGGAAGTCATGTGGTCTCACCCATTTATATATCCATAGCTTGTTTGTTTTGTGAACATGGTTTTGGACTGAGATTTTTCTCCTAAATACTGTTGTTAACCGGGGAAAAACAGACTCATGATTTATTTTATATATATTCTATGTCCACATGTAGATTTATTGTGTAAGAAAAATATGAGTCTTAATCGGACCAAGCGACTTTAATAAGGCGATAATTATAAAATAATAAAATATCCTTTAAATTTTTAAAAATCTCAATAACATTGATCTAGAAAAGATATTTTACAAAGGAATATGTATGAAAAAATGTTCTTCTCAAGAATGCAAAGCCATAATTAATCATAGTAATATGGAAGCATTCTCTTATAGTATAGTTTTAATTTTATTCAAACCATGCCCCAATCTCCCCTCACCCAGTGTTAAAGTATGGTTACATTAGGCAATCAAAAAATTCAGATGAATATTCAGGAAAAAATCTTTTAAAAATCTTTGTTCTCAAGAACAGCAAATGCATGATTAATCATATTTTTATGGAAGCATCCTCGGGCAGTGTAGATTCAAATTTGTTCAAATAATTGCCCCCCGAGGATGGGACGGGGCTACAATACAATATATGAAAAATCTTTAAGATATTCTTCTCAATAACAGCAAATAAATGTTAAGACATCATGGATGCATCCTCCAGGTAAAAATGCAGGTGTTATTGACTTGTTTAAATCATGACCCCGGGAGTAGGATGCAGCCAGAATGGCCGATTAGAGTTTTACATTGGAAAACTAATTAAATATTCTTCTCAAGAACAACAAACTTATTATGAGTCGTTTTTAATTGGAAGCATCCTTATGTAGTATAGAATCTTGACCGTGAAGGTTGAACGGGAACACATGAGACGCCAAACGTTTTATTTAGGAATACATAGAAAAAAGTCTTTAAAATTTTTTCCTCAAGAGCAGCAAAGCCATGATTAATCAAATTTATCTTGAAGCATCCTAAGAAAGTGTTAATTCAAAATATTGTTCAAATCATGACTCCTACTGTAGTATTGCGCCACAATGAGAGATCAAAGTTTTACAAAGTAATATGCAGGATTTATTATTTAGAAAAAAAAGAAAGATCTAGATATAGTACTCAAGAAAAACAGAACCATTATTAGTAGTGTAGATTCAAATTTGCTCAAATCATGACTATAAGGGGTAAGGTTTGACCATTAGATGTGCTCAAAATTTTACTTAGGTTTTCAGAGAGGAGGAAATCTGCTAATTAAGAACTGCAGGACCGTAGTTACTTGAGCTTCTTGTTAATAATGCATGTTTACAAATGAAAAACGAATATCAATAAACTATATTTAAGAACGTAACGTTGGAAATGTTTGAATCACTTAAAGCTGGGTTGAAAAATTATCATAAATCTATTTTGACTGTTTCATTCTGCAATTCGAACAGTAAAATGGCCTAAAATTTGAAATAGTGAGAAGAATGAAAAATTATATCCAAAATATTTAATTTTATTTAAAAGAACATCTAATGCATATTTTATAATGTGCATTGTATATATAATTTACTCCGATAAATCCAACCCTTTTTTCACTCTTTTTAGCAACTTGCATCTTCGCTAGCCAAGGGTTTCTGATACGCTACCCTCCTCATAAACCCTTGGCATACGGTGCTGACAAAGACGGGATTGTTTTCGTCACGTGATCACGATTCTTACCAGGTTACGCACAGATTGCGTCATCGACAGAAATAAAAAGCGTATTTAAAAAAATAATGTTCTTAAAGAATAATTAACAAGAAGGTAATGAATTATGTTAATTTGTTATTTAAACATGTTAAAATGCAAATCTACACCTTCAGTATAGATTCTTAATCTCATACTTTGCACGTAGATTAGGATATTGGATGACACCATATAACTATTCATAGAATGACATGTTATCTTACGGATCGTTGCTTACTTGCATTTTTCATTCCCGATATTAAAGAGTCAAGATATATCCCGAACGCAAATATCGTCATTTACAAAAAACAATTGCTGATTGGTCAAACGATGTCGATCAACTCCAATCACAACTTGAGAAAAAAATCCCAACTTTTTTTAACACCGTATGCCAAGGGCTTATGAGGAGAGTAGCGTATCAGAAACCCTTGGCTAGCGAAGATGAGCAACTTGCGAAATGGACGAATCTTAAAGTTATTTTAAACATCCTAAAAGTTGAATAATTGTAAAGTCAAAATCCCACATAAATTTAATAGAAGAAATAACTGTTTATTGTTGTACTGTTTTAGGACAGAGGAAGCTTTATATTTCCAATGGTAAAATAGCTTTTGAAGACATAGACTGGTTTGGATTAAAAAAAGATTTTTTTTTTTTTTTTTTTTTTTTTTTTGAAAATTAACATGATTTAAAGTAATATAAATTTGTATTTCAAGGAAGATTAAATGCAAGTTTTGTAATGTGCATTGTGAATATATTTCACTCAGATAAATTTTATACCCTTTTTAAATTTTATCAGAACTTGCAAAAAGAATCTAAAAAAATTATTTTAAACATCCTAAAAGTTAAGTAATTGTAAAATCAAAAACACACATAAATTTGATAAAAGAAATAATTGTTTATTGTTTTACTGTTTTAGGACAGAGGAAGATATATATTTCGTATGGTAAAATAGCTTTTGATAACATCAACTGGTTTTGGATTAAAGAAAAGATTTTTTTTAAATTAACATGATTTAAAATAATACAAATTTGTATTTCAAAGAAGATTAAATGCATTTTTTGTAATGTGCATTGTGAATATTATTCACACAGATAAATTTTAAGTCCTTTTTAAATTTTATCAGAACTTGGAAAAGAATCTTATAAAGTTGTTTTAAACAATGCTAAAAATTGAAGAATTGTAAAGTAACAATTATACATACATTTGATAAAGAAAATAACTATTGTTTTTACCGTTTTAGGACAGAGGAAGCTTTTTATTTCCAACGGTAAAATGGCTTTAAAAGACATTTACTGGTTTTGAATAACCTTTAAAGAAAGATTTATTTTTGAAAATTAACATGATTTAAAAAATGAATTTTTATTTCATAGAAGATTAAATGCAATTTTTGTAATGTGCATTGTAAATATAATTCTCTCAGATAAATTATATGCCTTTTAAAAAATTTTATAGAAACATAGTATATAGTCAAAATCACACAGAAATTTGATAAGAGAATAATGTTTATTGTTATATATTATTTCAAAATTATTAACATGATTTAAAATGATATAAATCTTTTTTTTCAAAAAAGATCAAATGCATTTTTTGTAGTGTGCATTGCAAATATAATTCACTATAATTCATTCAGAAATATGTATATATATATATATATATATATATATATATATATATATATATATATATATATATATATATATATATATGTATGTATATATATATATATATATATATATATATATATATATATATATATATATATATATATATATATATATATATATATATACATTTTTATACTTTTGTTAGCATCTTGCGATCTTGTCTAAAGAAATCTAATGAATCTAATATATTTATATTAAAAAAAAACTAATAATTAAATTAATGTACGTATTAAGTCAAAATCAAATTAAATTTGATCAAGAAAATAACTTTTTATTGTTCTTTCTGTTTAAGGACATATACAGAGGGACTTTTTATTTTCCAACGGTAAAATACCTTTTGAAGATTTAAATTGGTGTTTGAAAACCTATAAGAAAAGAAAAATATTTCAAAATTCACATGATTTTAAATAATACAATTTCCTGGCAGAAAAAAAAATCAAATTCATTTTTTCACAACGTAAATATATTCGCCTTTGTATGCGTTTTTTTTCTCTTTTTTACTCTTCTAACCAAAAGATAAGTGAAATTTTTAGCCAAAATGCAAAATTAGCGATTCAGTCTATAAAGAAATAAATATCAAATTTTAATGATAAGTGATTTTTCGATTTATTGATGTCTAGATAACAACTGTAACTTTCAATGCATAATGAATTGTTTGAGATATTCAATTTTAATGATCTTAATACGTACGCTGGAACTTCTGAAATTAATCCTCACTAAGGGATGACTGCACTCAACACTGAGTTTTGGGTCTTTTTCGGTTGTTCCTGTTGCTTTAGTCTCTTAATCTATTTTCACTTTTGTATATTTACTAAAGAATTCTGTCAATTTGGCACCAAATTTAAATCCAAAAATGCTTTTAAACTGTGATACGATAAAATATGTTTTTGTCCCTACTTCTTTCTAAATATAAAGAACTCATCTGCCCTTGATTAAACATTAGGTATGCATGAGAGATGGAGCTAACCTGGCAAGATCGTGTCTAAAATTAGACGAGATAAATAACATCGACATGTATAAAAAACAAATACGAGATCATTCTCTTTTTTTTTCCATCTTCCTCTTTATTTTGTATTGCATAAATGCACTATTTACAAAGGTTATAAATGAAATTAACAATATAAGCAGATCCATATAAGTAAAAGATATTTTAAATCAATAATTGTCAAGAAAACTTGTTCGAGCACAGTGCCCTAGTAAGCAAAAACATGTTTCTTTGCAAGTCACAAGACGGAATTTAGTATTCACAGAGTAACATGGGGCAAGAAATCACGTGGTGATTGTAATAGTAAACATGTCACAGCCCTTGGTTACAACAGAGAGAACGAATGTAAGGAGAAGCAGTTTTTTTTCTATTTTAAACCATGAGCGCATGTTTGTTGATTATTAACTCCGTTTAAACTAATATAAACTAATCTGAAAAAGGAGAACAATAAACAAACATGCGCTGACTATGTATAAAGTCAGTAAAAAGTGGGCATCTTCATTATCGTATGGAGATTCACGACATTGTGATGACCCCGCCTTTGAAAACAGATTCGTACTTCGTAAATACACTCTTTTATCTAATGTAATTACGTAAAGTTGTATATTAGATGTTGATCACTCTTGCAATTAAATTAAAAAAAAAGAAGCTTGTTTTAAAAGTTTATTTTGTCTCAAGTTTTGCATGTCCTTAAGTGCAGTCATCCTTTCTATTCATACGCCTAATATAAACTTATGAAATTTCTAAAATTACCAGTTTACTCAAAGAAAATTGTTTATGTAATTCACCTTTTTTGGCTTTGTTTTCAAACTTCGCAGCAAGTTTTGAAATAAAAAAAAAAGCATAAAAATAGTGAATATTGAATAAACGTAAAATTGAAATCATTCATAGATTTGACGAAGGAAATTATTGTTATCGTTTGTACTGTTTAAGGAATAAAAGAGGGATTTAAGTATTAATCGTGAAATTAATTTATGTGAACTGGTGTTGATTAATTCATAGAGAAAGATGATATATAATTGAAAAATTAATATCATAAAAAGTATTTACGAAATATTGAAAACATATGTGATATCATATGAAAGTTTTTGCTGTATTTTACAATATATTTAAGGGGGAGAAATAATAATCTTATGAACTTTTTCAAACAAAGAATGAATTAATTAATGTTGCTCGAATTTCTAATAAAATATTAAGATGCATTTTGTTTCGTAAACTTCTTATAGCTTTAAATGTATAAAAGTAATATTCATTTTGTAAATTTTGTGTTTAGAGTAGAGTTTTTATCTTTGAGATGTATGAGATTATGACAAACAAAACATTTCTGCGGAATTTTTTTGGTCAGAAATCATTTTATAATTTAAAAGACATGTGATATTCTAAGGGTTCGAACCTAAGCAATAAAAATCCTGAGAATTATTTCTGATTCGAGACTTATACGTGAACCGATACGCTATTTCGCTGATAATGAACAGCGGTACATGTATTTAAATCCGGTTTTTGATATGACCCTTGACTAAATGGACTCAATGGATAAATATTTCTTTGAAAGATTGAAAGATAGGAATGTTATGTCATAAAAGTTAGATTTTAAGTTAAAATAGATCTTTGCTTCATGTTTTTGTTAACTGAAGAATGTATATTTTGCGCATACTTTGAAAGAAATATGGAGATAACGAATAATAATCAAGCTCAAATTTAATCTTTCAAAGCAATAGTGCTAAGACACACCTACATGTATATATGAAAAAAATGTGTTATAGTAAAAAGAATTAATAATTTTGCTCTCTTTGTATGCTATTTCATATATGATATGCGATTTGTTGATATTTTACATAAAGTATACGTTTATGTTCAATTAATTATAGAAAAACAAACTGTCATAATTGAAATTGATTTTTTTTCCATTTTCATATTTGTCACACAGTAAGCAATTTGTTGCATTTTGTCCATCTTCTTATTGCTTAATGTATCTTTTTTAAATTCACAAGAATAGAATTTCCTGTTAGGTATTCTACATTTTCTTTTAACAGTATGTATCAAATTACGGCTGGAGACCAAGCACAGGAACTGATGACATATATTACCTCTACCTGGATTCAAAACCTTATTACTTGTCAGCTGACAATTTTTTTACTGAAATGAATATAACTTTAAATATAAAACGTAAGTGTCTTCATCTGATTATATTAAGAAAACATATATCTGCAATCTTCTCTCTGTATATCATTTGACTCAGGATTATAATTTTCATAGTAAAATATTGATTTAATAGTCCCCTTAATGATTGTTTTAGGGTATTTGTTTAGAATCGGGGATAGAGTGGATGGAAGTGGTAGTTCTGTTTCATGGATGCCAAATATGCAACTCCATTCAATATGAATTGTTAAAAGGCAGGGGGCTAAAAATACTATGGCCCCAAAATAATTACCCTCTCAGAAGTTACTGAGACTCTCAATTATTTATTTTTAAAGTATTGAATCCCTCTTAGACATCAAAAAATGGAGTTCAGAATATTATTTAGTGACACTATTTTGAGCTCATCTGAGCCGGTTTTTGTCCGCCTATCTGTTCAGTCTGTATGTACACATCATATTTTCGACTTTTTCTCTAGAACCACTTGTCCAGTTTCATCCAAACTGGCCACAAAGCATCTTTTGGCAAGGGGATTAACCTTGTTCAAATGAAAGGGCCACACCCTCGTTCAAGGTTAATGATGAAGAATAAGTGAAAATTTTGTTGCATCTTTTAAAAACCTTCTTCTCAAGAACCACAGCAAAAACGGTTTAATCTAAATTGAAAATTTCATTACACAGTGTAGATTCAACTTTGTTCAAAACATGACCCCTTGAGTAGGGTGGGGCCACAATGGACGTTCAAAATTTTACATTGAACGTAGGAATACACAAGAAAAAAACCTTTGAAAACAATCTAAAGAACAACAAAGCGATGATTGTTCATATTTTCACAGGAGCATCCTCAGGTATTATTGATTCCAAATTTGTTCAAATCATGACCACTGGGATAGGGTAGGGCCACAAAGACCTAAACAGGGTTAAATTTTATAAAGGAATGCAATAAAATCTTCTCAGGAACAGTCAAACTATTTAAATTATATTGATATAGAAGTATCCAAAGGTTGTGAAGAATCAGTTATGTTCAAATCATGACCCCTAGGGTAGGGCTGGGCCACATGAGTTCAAAGTTACACAGAATTTTATACGAAATCATTAATTTTTTTCAAGAACAGCAAAGTCATAATAAAAAGATTAATTAGGATGCATCCTCAGGTAGAGTAGATTCATGTTTGTTCAAATCAGGGTGGGAGAGGGCGGGGCCACAATTGAAGATCAAACGTCTAGGAAATATCTCGAAAAAACAAAGAAATATCGAAGGACCTAAGTAAGTGAAAGTTCGTGTATGTTCAAACCATGCCCCCAAGGAGATAATTTGGGATTATTGCGCCATCGACCCTTTCGTCGATCCTCAATGGGGCGACAGTAAACTAAGTGGCCTTTCTGGATTCAATATCATGTTGTAAAGATTCAAGCTTCCTCAAGTCTTAAACACTGGGAAATGGTGGTGCTACAATGGGCAACGATTTCATTTTTATTTATAATAGTATGGAAAACATCTTCTTTAGAACAGCAAATCCAAGATAAGTCATACTTATATGGATGCATCCTCAGGTAGTGTATTATAGGAAAAGTCTTCTTAAGAACAGCAAAGCCTTGATAAGTCATATTTATATGGAAGCATCCTCGGGTAACGTAGATTCAAGTTTGTTCAAATCATCATTCATCCCGGGGGAAGGGTGCGGTCACAGTATGAGTTCAAAGTTTTACATAAAAATAATTATGGGACCATCTGGGTCATAGTGACTCAGGTTAGCTTTATTGCCCATAGGTCACCCATTTGATATTTTAGAGCTCCTTTTCATAACGATGTTTACTACTTTTGAGAAATGATACCAAGTGTGTTTCTAATAGACAGGCCAATTATACAAAGATGTAATTTATACATGTGCATAGATAGATAGATAGATAGATAGATAGATAGATAAAGAAGAAATAGTTTTAAGCTATGTATGCTTAATCAAGTGTATATTTTATAATCCCACCAATAATTGCACTTTTTATACAGGAAAGCAGTTTTGTCTTTATTTTGACTACTTCCTTTATGGTCGAGGATCAATAAGGATTTCTACAATAGACAACTCGTACATGGAATCTTCTATAGCAGTTTTGTCTGGGTCACAGCAGAACTGGACAACCAAAGACACGCAAATAAATGGAACAAAACCTATATATAAGGTAGGACTTCAAGAATATAAATGAAAAAAGACATATAAAATAGCTGACTTGATTTTTCCCTCCAGAGAAATTCTCCATTTTTTTGGAGTAATTAAACATTCTCCATTATTATATAAATGTGTTTCATTCATATGAACACATTTATTTTTTTTCACACAGAAGAAAGAGCAACCTATATGAAAGTTTCATAGGTATATAAATAATTTATCGTTAAAGATAATTATTGACTGATAAAATTTAAAGATATGTATCACCTCTAAATGAATAGACGGCACGGTAGCTCAGTCGGTAGAGTTGTCGCTTTGTGATGGGTTTAAACCCTGGGTGCGACTGGCCTAAGTAGATTAAAAAGGTAGCAACTGTTCCTTTGCCAAGCCCTCGGCACTTTGAAGTGAAAGTTGCGGGTCATTCAATGAGATGCCTCACTGCTCAATGGACCTGAGCGCCAAGTTAATTTCTAATTATGGAGCCCTTCACTGGTATATGATGACACCTCTATATGATTGAAAAATTCTGGGATGGGACGTAAAACAGAAATCAATCAATCTAATTGAATATTAACAAATCGAATATATAAGCATTTTTCGTGCAATGAAATATTGTATTATACAGATTAAAATAAGAATGGAGGAGAGGACTGCAATCGACAGAATTATCGTTGCAGGGTCCAGTTGTGGTGAGAAACAGTTACTTTATATATCGATAAAGCATAGGTAATGATGAATGAACATTAAAAAGAAAGTGGGAAAATAGTTAAGTTTATTAAATTTATAAGCAAAACTATTATATACGTTTTATGTTTGACTTATTAGTTTGTTCAAACTGGACATTTGGTCACAACTGTGACAAATGCGCCTGTGTCCGAATGCACACACAGTCTTGTGACAAAACCACCGGGGCTTGTCTGTGTAAAAACGGATTTACCGGAGATGCCTGTCAGTGTGAGGCCAATGGAAAACCCTGTCTCCATGGTAACTATATAATTCAAAGCTCTTTTAAGGACATACGCAACGTACATGGACATGTACTTTACAATGTACCTTTCCCACTTATAATTTTCCGAGATATTTTTAGTTAAAAATCATAATATCATCACATGTTTTTAGACAAAAAATCAGCATACATTTTCAGGAATTTTGAACATATATCAAATGATGAAAATCATTGCATTTTTTAAAGAAAAATTAAGAGGAAATAAGTTTCAGCACGTACTTCTCCGGATTTGAATCGGAAAAGGTGTACAACATTACGAGACATCAAAAAATTGCACAAAGGTCACTCAGTTATTGTATCTATTAAATTATTTAGGGAATATAAAAATAAAGTTCAGAACTACTTTGCGTATGTCGTTAATTTCATTTTCCATTTAGCAAATACTTGTTTTTCTAAATATTTGTTATAGATCGAGAATGAAATTAAATTTTGCTACATGTATAAATCATATCATAACATAATAACTATGCATTTAAAATGAAACCTTTACATTTTAAGTGAAACTTACTTAGAAAAGTCACATTAAATTGCTTGGATCGACTGGAAAAAAAGAAATTTAAATTACTTTTCAGACGTTAGATTGGTGAATGGAAACTCAACAAACATGGGCAGAGTAGAAGTGGTCACTGAAGGCATATGGTCCACAGTCTGTGACGGAAACTGGGATGATAATGACGCAACAGTTGTTTGCAAGCAATTAGGGCTTGGAAAGTCAGTTAATAATTTACAATGTAGTTTCACAATTTTTATAACAATCATTTATGCGAGGATCCGGGGGGGGGGGGGGGGTGGTCCTGACCCTCTCCTCCTAGAATTTGCGGTGTTATTAAATGTACATAATACAGTAGTTAAAAAAATGACTTTGGACCTCCTATTTTCACTTTTTATTTTTTTTTTTCAATTAATGTTTTTAATTTCTTTTATACCTTTCAAGAGATTTCTGGGCTGTATATTTTTTGGGGACTGAAGTAGACACTTCCCCCTTTAAAAAATTCCTAAATCTGTGCTTTTCTTTTATCATCTTTTCTACATTTCTTCTACTTTCTTGAAAATATCTTCTCCTACTTTAATTAAAACATTATAATTTTATTTTTGAATTTGGTTATCTCCGTATTTCATTTGGCTGGTTAAAGTAAAGTAAGAAAAATATTTAATATTTGTTTCTCTATGTTATAGATATGGCATTGCAATGAAGAATGCCGCGTTTGGAAGAGGACTTGGTCCTATTCACGTGGACAAGGTTGCTTGTAGAGGAGATGAAGAGGATTTGTTAAAATGTCAATTTACTCGATCTTCATGTGATCACTCTGATGATGCAGGGGTAGTATGTGGTAGGTTAAGTTATCTTTTTATCTGATTTCTTCTTATTAATATGTTGAAGTCATTTAAAAAAAATGATCAGTAAAATGGTTCATACAACTTCAGTTAATGCATCGAGTATAATCCGACTGAGAGACGGTACCGACCGGACAAATGGTCGTCTAGAGATTAAATTGGATGAAGGTGGATCCTGGGGTACAGTTTGTGACGACGGCTTCGGAGAATCGGATGCTAGAGTAGCCTGTCGACAGTTAGGTCTACCCACGTAAGTAAATTTATCCTCTATTATTTTCGTACGATAAATGGGTGAAGAGATATCTCATATGAGAAACATATAAAAGATCATAAGAGTTATCTTGATATTTGAGTGAAGGAATAGTAAATTCTATTTGTTGTCTATAAAGAGGTTTGCCGAGTCATAAACTGCAAAAAAGATTTTCTTGACACTAATTTTTTTTTCAAAATCAACATTATGCATGTACTGTATGTTATTGAGTTTTATTTGTATAAGTAACCTGAGCAATGTTTGCCAGGGTAATTTGAAAATTTTGTAACATGTAAGACATGTATTATTAAAATGTAGGCAAAAGTTTGCATAAATTTTCATAGAAAAAAAGTCACAAAGCCCTATATTTAAGGATGTACAACACCCCCATCCCCAATTTCCTGTCGTTTAATTTTCCTAATTTTTGTATATTTTATACTTGACCATATATACAATGCGAATGCACATTTTGGACAAAATAGTTTGAGTCGTATTTAGACAGGAAGTTCTAAAAGTTACCCCCCTTTTTTTCAATCGACTAACTATAAAATCCTTTATTTTCAAAATTGTCAGGTTAGTCTAGCTGTCAAAATTCGGTGACTCATTCGTTTAACTATTAAACTCAGAAGTAAAGTAATTTTGTAGAGGTACACATCGACAAAAACAATTTTGAAGAATTTAAAACTATGGTTCATCTTAACATTGAAAAATGCATGTTTTTCAAATTAAATATTTTTTTAATGAAAAAACTTATCGTTTAATTTTGGAAAAAATATTTTCCTCGTGTAACTGGTTTTCAAAATAATCTTGATATTTTTTTTTTATTTTTTTAAACGCCGCGTTCTGAATTTATAACGGAAAATCCCCTTCCCCTTCTCTCCGTAAGTTACATTTCTCACAGCGTCTTTTAGACTTGCGACGAAAATGAATCTCTACAAATACGCATAAAAATTCCAAGCTGGAAAATGTCTTTTACTATAAAAATATAATTTACATTATATTTATCACAAACTTTAAACTTTAATTCTGCATTTAAATGAAAATGAATAAGCAATTTCTGAAATTTTAATACCCCCTTTTTTCTCTGCAATGCAGGCCATTCGAGCTTGAAAAGCATCGATTATGTCAGCAGATATGATTGGTATATTGAATCCCTGAAGTAATAAGTCGTTCATTCATGTATGCAAATTAATTATTGACCACTTATATGTTTTGTTCTTATATAATATTTTATTTTTATATTTAGTAAAACTAATTTTCTAAGGATTTTATGTACACGTGTGACGTGTCCGGTTTGTAGTCCGTACACACTTACGAGAATTCAGTTTCACACCTCTATATGAAATGAATTCTACTTGCATTGAATTTGATTTTTTTAAGTGAACCAACAGTGATGTATGTATAACTCTCCTATGATGAAAATAGAATATATATAGGTTATTTATTATTTCAAAGTAGAGGAATGGGGCACCCCACCCACCTTGTATTGTATCCTTCTGTTGTTTCAATAAATAAAATTGAAATAACGTATTCGTCCATATTAACTTCAATTGTATCAAATTGTAAATTATTCATCAATTTTAAAATTATTCATGTGCCGAGTCATCTTCAATGGTATCAATCGTTTTGTTTTTATTCGAGGAAATGCGAACTGAAACTATTTACAAACAAGTTGATGAAACAAGAATATCAGCAGTCTCGTTTAAAGTCATCATTTCGTAAGTACTATGGTCGATAAAATGACCTTGTCAGCAAATACAATCTATCATTAAGTCAAATGCTGACTGACCTTTTTTTTATACTAATTGTTAGGCCATTATTTACACACTAAATTGTTGACATATGTTTCCGTTATTTCCCGATCATGACAAGGAGCACACGGCGGGTGTGCCCGGTCGGCAGGGGGTGTTCACTTCTCTATGGCACCTGATCCCACCTCTGATGTTTTCAGAGGTCCGTGTTTGCTCTGCTCCTGATTTGTATTGTTTAATGAACTTTTGAGCTTGAATACTGTTCGTTATTTCCATATATTTCATTTACAGTTAAGGATTTTCTCAATGGGATGTATGTGTTGAATTAATTTTACTTTCATTTGTATATTCTTTGGCTTTCAGTTCTTATGTTCATTAGAACTTACTGTAAAATAATGTATTCGTGAAAAAAAAAATTGTTCAGAAAACAGGAGGAATAACTCAGCTAAGGGGAGGGAAAAAGTGTATCTGAAAACGGTAACTATATTGGTTAAGTCTTTTTAAATTTTTATTTAAAAATTGAAAAGATTGACAGTATATATTTGAATGTATGATAATATTAAGACTGACTGGTAAATTTAATGATATATGGCCGATTGTAACGGAAAAAAAGCAATGTAGCATTACCATTTTCAGATTAAAAAATGGCTTTGTGTATATAATATACAATTTAAAGAATTCACTAAATGTAAATTAAAGAAATTTAAGGGATAATCTGTCTTTTCTTTATTTTTATGGAGGGGAGAGGGTTATTGCAAATGCGTAAATGATCAAAGATGGGATTCGGTATTCCTATAGAAATCACAATCAAAACCTCTTATCTCATTTTTCCTTAATTACATCGGGATCGTATCGTCATTTTGACGCTTAATTTTAATTAACGTCAAATAACGTCAAGTTAAACATTTTATTGAAATCGCAAGTTACCTCCCCCAGTGTGTTGTACGTCGTTAAGCACCAAAAGCTAACGATGTCTTTTTAGGGATATTTTTAGGGATATTTTAGGGATTTATTATTCGCTTCTTCAAATCTCCAATGATGCTTATAACAAATTAATATTTTTCTTTAATTTCGGTCATTAACTACTACAATTTGTATTCAGAGGTGTTATAGTAGTGTATATAGTAAATTCAAAATAACTTGTGATGCTGTTTTTTCTGTCGAAGAAGCATAATACACCTTTTCACTAAAAATAAGCAAAAAATAAGAGTCACATGTTTTTGTTGTTCAAACGTATCATTTTAAAGGAATTGAAGTCAACAGAAAAACTAAAATACTAGTTTATAAGCAAATTAAGCTTGTATATTGTTCTACGTTTTGTAGGAGAGCTGTTCAAGCAAAAACATCTGCTTATTATGGATCGGGATCGGGATCGATTCTTTTAAGCAATCTACGGTGCAACGGAGATGAACCTGCTATTCAGTCGTGCTCTGGGACAAAAAATCCCAGTAGCTGTGGTCATTATGAAGACGCTGGTATATCTTGCTCAAATGGTAATTTCTCTCGTTTTCATTGAAAACAGGGAATTAGGGCACTATTTTATAAACATACCTTAAGACTTAGACCAAAATTTAATTTTGCAAATAACTTTTTATTTAACATTAATTTGAAGATGGTTTTGAACTTTCTCAAAGAAAATTAGAGAGAATTTTTATGCAAGCAACCGCACTTCATGAAATATGCCGGCGTGAAGCGTCGTAGTTCATGTACTCATGAATCTTCAAAAGTTAAATTCATTTCTTAATTATACGGAGAAAGTTAAAACTTATTGTTTAATACAAACTTGGTACCCACGACATGAGATAGCCAGTACACATTATGACGTCGTTGTTCTTTACTACGCAAGATTATAATGGACATCAACAAAAATGTTTCGGCGCAAGGGCATGCTCTATTTTATTTAACTGAAACCAGGTATATTTAGAAGCAAAATATTCCAAAGTTTGCTTGTATTCCTGCACAAATATCAACATCTCAGTTGTATAATTTCTATTTGTAAAGTTTTAAGTTGAATAAGAGTAAAAATGTACAGTCCGGTATGAGTTTCCTCAAATTCCGATCAAATGAGAGAATGCCTAGGATTTGTGCAGCAGTTTCTTAATCTATAGAATATTTTTCTTAGCATTATACAATTTTTATGTAAAAATAAATAGGGTAATCCCTTAAGCCGAAGCTGTTTTGTTGATTTGTTTTATTACCTCCAGTAGGTAAGATCCAGTGACGTCATTATATGACTTCATAATGTGCACTGGCTATTACATATTGTGGGTACTAAGTATGCATAAGAAAATAAATCAAAACTTTCTCTGACTAATAAATATTCCTCTCATGAGTTTTTATTAGCTCATTTGCAAATAGAAACACCTATACCTTGCCTTAACTCACATGCGAGTGTCGCAGTAGGTGCTGGCACGACAAAGATCCCTCACTGCTAAATGGCCTTGAGTGCCGAGTATAGGTCAAAATGTGCAGCCCTCCACTGGCAAGTGGTGGCGTCTCCATATGAGTGAAAAATTCTCAAGAGGGACGTTAAACAACAAACAAACAAACAATCAAGCAATCAATTTCAGTTTTTTTTGTCTTAGTCTAAGTTCTTTTTGTAAAGGTGACCCAAGTTATTTCTGATATTAATATTATTTCTCAAAAACTATTTAGGTGAAATTAATTTGGTTTTATCAGTTGTCCAATATTGTTTCTTGGTTTGTAAGAGAGAGAAGGAGAAAAAAAAGAGAATAGATAATCAAGATTTGGTAAATATTTTCTTTTTAAAAGATTGTCCTTCATTCACTTATGGAAAAGAGTGTGAAGACGATTGTGTTTGCGACCGTAGTAATTCCTTGTCATGTGACAAAGACACTGGGGAGTGCATGTGCAAGAATGGATGGTCAGGTGCACGTTGCACATGCGGACAAGGAATGAAATGTGACGAAAACTCATATTGTGACGGGTACAAATGCCTTTGTATTGATGGTGTTTTCTCTAAACCATCTAACTGCTCAGGTATGAAATAATTTTAACACTGTATACCCCTGTTTAACAAAAAATTATGTAAAAAGTATATTTTAATTAATACCCTCTCATGTGTTCCTCGTCATTTTACTCAGGAAAATGAATAAGATGAATAGCAGGACATTGAAAATCCATTCTATAGTAAAATAATCAAAACTTCTGAATTTCAAGCATGTAGATCGTTTATTTGATCAGACTGAGTAATGTGCCCTTTTTAAAATTTTGATCTTGAACATTTATATTTATTGGAATGTTCATTTTACCCCAGAAATGGACTCGGTGATCTTGCATTTAAGCTATAAAACAAATGTTCTTTACTTTCGAACATATTGCTGTCTACATAATGATATGCATCAACGATATTTCCCCCAAACGTATAGACAAATATGATTGTGTATGTCTAGAGAAAAAAATTGAGAGAAGAGTCCATCAATTTCAGCTGATGACATATTAGCTTCTTTAAATGATAATAATCATGACCTTATTGATGAACATCTTTTACAGATGTCACAGACGTATTGTATTCCTGTTCATTTGAAACAGATTTTGAGACATGTTCGATTAAAAATTATGGCGAAATGAAATGGAGGAAAGACAGCGTAAGTATTAACAATGATTTCTCATTGTGTTTCTGGTAAGTTACGCCGAATTTTTGAATGAAAATTACTTTTTTAGAGTGGGACACCTAGTGATGACACAGGTCCATACTCGGCACAAGAAGGGAGATACTACGTTTATACAGAAGCCACCAGCCAATCCACTGGTGATAAAGGAGTAATGGAAATACCCGTTTCTAATCTTAATCTTAGTATGTTTTTTTTTTGTTTTTTTTTTTATGTGAAAGTCGTTCAGCTAGGTGCTTTAAATGATACAAGTGCCTATTTATGATATTTTCTAAAGATATACAGTATTAGTCTCGTTTAAGTTTGGATGTCCTTTTCCGAAGAAGAACACATTAACTTCAATAGAGCAAAGATACAATAAAAATTCACATAAAACTTTTCACAAACATCACACCGGCTAGTTTTTGGAAGATAGTAGAGTAATAATGTATCAATAGCTTGTATTTTAAATTTTTAAAAACGTTGATCATAAGAAATGAAATGCACTTTTAATCTTGTGAGGTTATTTGACCATAAAAAAAGCCATATCTTTGGCGTGTTTTCAGTGAAATAGCAACAGCAATATTTGCGGATTTTGTAATATTTATTAGAACTATTGTTTTCATTAAGCAAAATTTTTATGCTAACACCAAGACTTTTTTTTTTTAACCTTTTGAAATTTTTTCTTGATATTTTGTCAACAGGAATTGTAAAGTTACGTGTTGTTCAGAGAGTCTGCTTAATTAAATTACTTTTTTGCGAATGCTTTGCATTGAAACACGAAAAATACTTTCTACAAAAAAACGAACTCAATAGGTTTTCGTATTTTGGAAATATTGGATTTTTGTGTTATTGATTGTGTTTTGCTTAAAATAATCCAAAATATAGATATTCTTGCATATCAAGGTTTAAACAAAATAAGTTTTTTAAAATAAATTTTTCACAGTAAATCGGGTTTATTCATGTATCTTTACTACAAATAATTGCAAATAAGTAAATTGCAGATATGTACTTCGTTTATTATTGAAAAAATTGGATGGTCGTCTATCCCAATTTTTTTTCAGACCAGCGAGATATATATCTGCTTCTACATATGCGTAGGGAACAACGAAAGTTCATGTTCTGTATTTCATCTTTCTTAGATATGACCAAGTGAACAATATATCTAGTGAAATAGTTATTACACGCAGAAAAGATAAAAAAGCATCACCATTTCTTTTTTACAAATACAGTCAAAAGTTATTATAACAAGCTAATTCAGAGAATTTGTGTCCCCCGCTCAGGGAAAAAAAGAAGAGCTGGCGCAGTTGGAGGGGGGGGGGGGTCACATTGCCCCCTGTATTTGTAGAATTATTAAATGTATACATGTATAATGAAGCAAATTTTTTTAAAAAATGCCAATATGGATATAAAGATTTCATTGCTTATTCTTTAATATGTGTATAGAAGATTATTTTTAATATACAGAATATTTAATTTATCACACTGTAATAATGATTTTATGAGTTTATACACGCCAAACATCATAACTTTTTCATCTCACATGTTGAATAGTATCATTTAGTAAATCAAAAAAAAAAAAAAAAAAAAAAAAAAAAAAAAAAAAAAAAAAAATTGAACCCGGACCTCTCGCTTGCTTAGCGAGCAACATACCACTAGACCACGGAGGCACTTAATTAAAAAGCAGATTAATTTCAAACATTAACTCACATATGATGTTTATATTGACGTTTGATATTGTCAAAATGTTAATCAATACATGGTGTCTAATTTAGCCTTTACTAAACAGTTCTAATAGATGTAATAAGAATATAATGTCCGCCGACAACCTGTATTATACGTAATAACTCTCCAGAAGCACATGTGCTAAAAATAGTGCCATGCGACTTTTAATACAATACATGTAAATAATAATTAAAAAACGGGGCGGGACACTTTGAGAGGGGCGAGAGAGGCCCTAGGGAGTTATGGTATAAAATTTCATTGCAAAAGCTCAAAGGCTTCTTGAGATATCGCCCGGAAACAAAAGTGTTACATACAGACGGAATGTATAAATTTACGACATTGAACTCTGACCTTTTGACCTCCAAATTAATAGAGGTCTTCCTTAGGCCACAGGGAGTTGTTATGTAAAATTTCATTACAAAAGCTCAAAGGATTCTCGAGATATCGCGTGGAAACGAAAGTGTTAAAACAGACAAAATTTATGAATTTATGACCTTGACCTTTGACCTTTTGACCTCAAAATCAATAGATTTCTTCTTTAGGCTATAGGGAGTTGCTATGCAAAATTTCATTGCGAAAGCTCAAAGGGTTCTCGAGATATCGTGCGGAAACGAAAGCGTTACAGACAGACAGAAATACAGACGGACGGACGGACAGAGAGACCCAAATTAATATCACCCACTTTCAGTGAAAGCGGGGTACAATTAGTGGCCTAAATTTATTTATAACATTCAATATATTTTGTATAAAATATAATACACTTTGATTCATTTTTTTTTCTTCAAGCTACACATGCATGTTTCCAGTTTTACTTTCACATGAGAGGAGATGATATGGGTGATTTGAATATAACTGCACAGGACACATATGGATCTGAAGTGACTAGATGGTCAAAGTCAGGACATTATGGTGCCCGCTGGGACAGAGGCTTTTTTTCTCTCCCACCAACTTCTTCATTGGTATACTTAGAACATTTTAGTTGAAAATGATAAAATTTTTGTGCCAATTAAGGATCATTGTTGGGATTTTATTGAAAATGTGATCATTATTTAATGTTTCTCTTCATTATCCCACGTTTCGACCCCTCAACTCTCAGGATCTTGTATATGTATTTTAATATCAATACAAACGATTATGTGCTTTTCCTTAAGGACAAACTTATTTTTTGAAAGAGTGCCATAAATGTGTTTTTCTTCTCTCTAGATTATTGTAACTGGAATAAGAGGTGACGGCTATCAGTCAGATATTGCACTAGATGACTTCAAAATCTTTCAAGGACATTGTGGTAAGGGACAAGACCTGATATCGTATGATAATGAAATAAATTCAAATTTTATTTAGAAATATATTTATGTTATCATTGTCTTTTAGATTGCGATGAATGGAAATATGGATTAATGTGTGAAAAATCATGTGATTGCATAAGAGGAACCTCTGAAGGGTGTAATAGTCAGACCGGAAGCTGTATTTGCCAGTCAGGATGGAGTGGAAAAACATGTAATTGCCGGAAATCAAGAGATACATGTCACCCTGCTTACTCTTATTGCCATGGAGATATCTGTTTATGTAAAGATGGCGTGTATGACAACGGTGTTCCGTGCTCTGGTATGATGCCAAAAATCACTTTTTTCAAATTATTTTCGATATGTTTAATTTTAAAATATTAAAATGTTACACCAAGTAGCTATGGATTTCAAATAAATTATCAATATTACCATTCGGATCAAGCAATGCTTGAAATATCAGTAATTTTGATTGAAATATTATGAAATCGTTGTAGGTATCAATGATGTTATATATTTCTGTGCATTTGATATGCCAGACAGTTTCAAACGCTGCAAAATTGAATTGCCTCCAACGCAGTGGGAGATTGAAGAGGTGAGATCTCATCATATTGCATATTATATCTAAACATGAAACAGAAATATTTGGCATTAAAAACTTGAAGTAGTTTTAATATTAAAGGCATTTTTTTCTTTAAGAGTAAGAAATAAACAGTATATCCTGGCTACAAACAAAGGATCAAAACTCTCATATTTATCAGTAATTAAGATTATCTTCATTGCAGGACAGAACACACTCGATAAGTGATAGCTATCATCTGATCAACAACCGCTACTTGCAAACAAAACTGTCCCCGGAAAGCACAATGTATTCATTTTCCCTCAAAAATATATCATTAAGTAAGTGTCTCCTTAATTGAGGAAATAGGTATTCATTTGAAACTTTTATTGAAGTTTAGAAATGAAAGAATGTAAATAGAGACTTTTTTGAATTTTTTTGTAGAAACTGATAGTTGTCTTCAAGTAAAATATTTTACACGCGATCCCACGAAGCAAAGTCTACGAATTCAGGTGATAAGAGATGGGCATTTGATGATTAATAGGCTGTTTCAAGGAAGAGATTGGTCGACTGCCCGGGTCTCCATAAAAGCATCTTCAAGGATCAAGGTACGTATACATGTCAATAAGCTTGGATGTTAAATAGCTTTCCTGGTGTTTGCTGAAATATATTTATTACATCATTAAAAACTATGTTTTCCGTTTTGTTTTCGCAGATTCATTTCATTGTCAACGTCTACAATAATTTGCCTGTGCTTATAGACGACATAATCATAACGGCCAAGAAATGTGGTAAATTTATTTTCATTATGTGTTATCATATTTGGATATCATGAAGTAGATACAACATTTTATAAATTCATAATATAATTTGACTTTATTTATAAATTATTTTTCTCTATTTGGCTCTAAAGTGTGAAAAATTTTGTTTTTGTCTCCATATTCATTCATGTATGTGTAGGCATTGAATTTATGATACAGTTTTAAACTGATTCTTGTGACAATTTTTATCATTTTGTTATTGTTTATTGAACAGTTGAAAACTAAACTCTTTATTCAACTTCTCCTTTCTTATTTCCTTCATGTATTTGGCACATGAGAACTGAATTGTAATGTCCATTACCACTGACTTGTACTGTACAGCTTTTCTCTTTATTTCATTTTCTACCTTTGATTGAGTATAGCTCTCTTTTCCCTGGATTCTTATGCCTGAAATTAAAAAAAAAATATATCGTTTTCTTTGATCGTATATTTTAAAACAAAAATCTTTTTCAATTATCTTTTTAGGAATTGTTCGTCTCTATAAAAACAAATCTTGGCCTTAAATAAAGAAAATGTTAAATAAGTATGGAAAAACTTAATTTCTTATGTCAAATTTTGTATTTATTAAAAGTAATGCATATTTAGGATCATTAATGTAGTACAGTAATATTTAAATCCACTGCGTATTATCTCCTCTATTTCTTAAGAAAACCATAGCCGTCTATTACCAGTTAACACCACTAAACACACCATCTCTACAGATTTCTTGAGCTGTGGCTGTTCCATCAATGGAACGTACAATGACGTACATATCAATAATGCACTAGTCTATTTCATCTACTAAATTTCATTTTAAATGATTATTCGTACAGATATAAATTTAAATAATAAAAAGCCTTTCTTGGTTTATTAGTACGGAAATTAACGTTGCAGTATTGCACAAAAAAAAAAATATAACCAGCTTAAGCGGGTCATGCATTTTTTCTGCAAGAGCTACATTATTAATTCCCATACTTATAACCAATTTGAAAGAAAGCATTTTATTGTTTAAAAAATAATCTTCCATCTCTACTTAAAACGTATTTTACTGTACTTGTATTTTAATCTAATAACTCTAGCCCAGAATTGAAATTATGAGCACGTACATGTATATATAATTTTAACGTATAACAATTTTTTTTCGCTTAACATTTTGCTTTAAATGACTTTTATTGTGTACAGGTGCTTGTTCACAGTGGTATTATGGTTCGGATTGTGAAAAGATGTCGAAATGTAATCGTACAATGACTCTTTCATTTGACCACCAAGATCGATGCAATTGTAAGCCAAACTGGTACGGTGAAACATGTGATTGCTCTAAATCAGAAAACGATGCATGTCTCAAACGGGGAGAGATCTGTATGGGAGGTACTTGTTCTTGTGAGAATGGATATACAAGAGCTGGATTGGGTTGCAGAGGTATAAAAATCAGTGGTTTTAGTTACATTTGTAATCTCTCTCTGGTATCAAAAAGTTTCATGCGTTTTGAAAAAAAAACTTACCTTTATAATGCATGTTAAGTTGAGAAGTATTGTATTTAAACCTGGAACATGAAGCTTTCTTTTTTTATTTACAGATATTGATGAATGCAAATATCAATGCAAAAGTTCTTTGCAAACATGCAAAAATACGAATGGATCGTATTCATGCGTTTGTAATAAAGGTACTTTTGGAGATGGTGCCATTTGCTCAGGTACTGGCTTTAATTTATATTTTCTCTGCTCCTTTATTTTTTTATTTGTACGGTATCGTCCTTGCTATGTGCATTACGGCTTAAAATAGAGATGTTTTTAACACATTTTATCTAAAAGTGAAATACTTTTAATTTCAACTTTTTAAAAACTACTTTCATTTTTATGGGCTCATATGTACATAGTGGATTAATGTAGAATACAAATGAAACATGGATATAACGAACACTAGTCGAGCCCAAAAAATCCATGGAAACTACAAATTTGGAGCAGAACGAACGCGGGTCTCCTAAACAGCAGAGGTTGGATCAAGTGCCATGGAGAAGTAAGCATCCCCTGTCGAGCGAGATCATGTTTGGGCAAATGAAAACATTCGTAGACAATTCACTATATAAATTATGGCCTACCAATTAGTATGAAAAACGCCAATCAGCATTCTGCTTAATTTGCTGAGGAGAAAAATTTGCGCAATTTTGACTTGTTTGTCAATAGCTTGCCGCGTTTTAGAAATTGTTCGTACGTAGAACATACTCTTGCTATTGATGGAACGCTATTGATACCAATTGGAATTTCAAAATATTGTTTTGAAAGACTTGATCTTCAAAAGCAACATAGATATTGTCTTTTTTAATTTTAAGTTCGGGCTAGTTTTTTTTTGCACAATCAGATTGTCTTTTAACAATATAGTTTGCAAGTGACCATTGACAGGTCAAGGGCATTAATAAGGACACATTTCATTCTTACAGAATTATTGTTATAAGGGGAAATATGTCAAAAGATACTGTGTTTTAAACTCTTTATATCTGTAGTGTATTCTATTTTATGGTATTAGAGGCTATCTGTGCATTTATTTACCATATCCAGGTATGATATATTTGAATCCAGGACAAGTAATGCCACTGTTTTCCGAAGAACAAAACAGAAAGATGCTGTCCAGTAAATTATTTCTTGTGGGTTGTTCAGAGAAGGCATATAGAATAAAATGGGAACAATTTTTAAAGAACATCTCAGTAAACAAACATTGTATGTTTCAGAATCCCTGCTCGCCATTACAAATGGGTCTACACCAATGGATGGAACCATACTGATGTGGCGAGACAATGTTTGGGGTGCAGTGTGTCAGTCCTTTGATCTATTTACAGCTATGCTAGCTTGCAATACACTTTTCGGGGATGATATGTAAGTTGCGTAGGAAAACTGCGTAACGATTTTCGTAATTTTAAGCATTTATGTTGCAAACTACACATCACTACGCATAAATAGAAAACGTGCTAAACTTTTGAACTCGAATAATTGTATATCATTCTTATTTAGAAACTTCTTTCAAATTGATATTACTGTTAGTATTCAGTGTTGATGTTTTATTCATATCAAACCCCAGACATGGTGTTCATCTTGCTCAGGAAGGAGGCTACAAATCGCCAAATGGGGTCACATACAAGTCTTTTGTATGTGATCAAAAAAGTAAGGGATTTGACCTCACAAAATGCAATGTCTCTATTGAACCATGTGACACCGAAAAAGATGCAATGCACCTATCCTGTGGCGGTGAGTATACGGGAATTAAATATATTAGTACATAAATTTGTGTCTTTGAACATTTGTTTTAACTTATTTTGCATGAAAGCCCTTTTGACAACTATGAAAATGACCTATTGTACTCACATTAAAGTACAGTAGTGCTTGTCGGTTAACACCCCCCCCCCCCAACCCTGTCCCCCTGCTTTAGCCCTTGGACATTCAAGATTTTAGGACTCTAAAGTTTTACAAGGGAGCAAGCCTTAGTGTATAACATACTTTCCTCAGGACAGTCTTTTGACTTTGGGTTTCTTTTATTTCATTTCATGTATTGGCATAAGACATGCAAATTTAAGAAAATAAAACATGAACTGATCTCACTGTGGACAATTTGGAGTACCTGAATCACTTGCGTATACAATTTTATGAGAAAGACTTGACGACTTGAAATTTTCAAACTCAACATAGACAATAAGTTTCCCAGTGTTTAAATTATTTTTGACTAAACATATTGATGATTTTAGAACATGTTAAGCACATAACTATCTCGTAAAGGTAAAAAAATATGAATTTGATTAAAGTGTCAAAACTATCATTTATTACAATTTTGTTATCATTTAGGCACAACGTACCTTGCTTGGCCAGGTATGTCCGTGACATGCTTAGCAGTAATCTTGCTTGTTTTGTGGTAATGTCCGAGATTTCTCTTCTATTTGTTATTACAGTCTGTGGAGGGGTATATACATCTCCGTTTGGACTAGTGGAACCCCCTCTTGAAGTCCCAGCTAGTACATTGTGCTTCTTTGTATTGAAACCATTCAACTCTAAAACGATCAATGCAACATTCATTTCTTTCACATTAAATTCAAATGATCAGTTTCGAAGAAAACGATCTTCATCTATAATTCGAATTCCATGCGACGACACATATCTGGAGGTATGGATGCAAGAGAATACTTGCGAATTCTTTTCTTTAATCTTAAGAAATCCAAATGATGTAAAAGGTAATAATATAATATGCTAAATACATATTCTCTTTTCACAATAATTTGAATTTTTAATTTTCAATTTTAGGTATTTGATGGTCCAGATGAAAAGTCACCTTTTATCCAACGATATTGTAACAGTCAACCTCGGTTCACTATCACTTCTACTGGAGATAGTCTATTTATTATCTATAAAACATCAAGAAACACATCAAAACACGATTTCCAGATTATCTACGAAACAGAGAAGAATGTGGAAGATCGTGAGTTTATTCCTTATCTCAGCTGAAATTTCAGCAGTGTTTAATACAGTTTAACAAGGTTTCTTTCACTGTGACAGGACTATTTTCTTAACTAGCTATAGATTATTATCCTTCACTTAAAATTTAAATCCTAAGAATTTTACTGCAAAACTTTAATGAGTTGTCATTGTTTACATTGTTCTCTTACTTCAGCTCACGCACTGGGGGAACGCTGTAGTCACTCTGTGCAGTGTGTAGCAAACAATGCCTCCTGTATCAGAAACATATGTACTTGTCATAGAGATTATTATATGTTTGATAGAGCCACTTGTTTGGAACGTAAGTTTTATTTTTTATTTATTGCTAAGTTAAACTTTATTTAATGCGAAGGTTAACTTTAAGAAAAAAAAGGAATGCTTAATAAACTGCATAAGTATATCCGATAAAGTTTATACCTACACAGGTCAATAAAGAGATAGTGGTAATAAAACAAAATCAGATGCAAGTGACGTTTTGTTTCATTTAATTTTGAGAATCCGAATAGATTTATAAAGATTAATTTTTGACTACGAATGTTGAAAAAAAATTCAAACCTCTATAAACTTACATTTAAGTTGATAAATGTTCTATTCGTTGATACCAGATAAACGCTTGAAAGATTACTATGAAAGTCAAAAGAATATCAAGACGTTTTTGTTTGTTTATATGGATTGATTCTGTTTGTGTGTTTTTGGTCGGTTTCTTTTTGAATTTTTTTTAGAATAAACTTTATTTTGTTTTATTTTGGGAGTGGTAGTCATGGTGTTGTGTAGACCTGAACTTTAAAAGATAAAACTACAACTGTGGAAGTGGGGCTTTCTGATTTAAACATGTTTTTTTCATGTTTCCTGGTCTATTACTTACACAGTATAAATTATATGCACAAGACTTTGTTGTTGGGAACGATTTTCTCTGAAGAACAACTGATTGATTGAAAACATCAATGATTTTTAATTTTATCTTTGAAAGGAAAAAGTTGGAACTCTTCATGTAGTATAAATGAAGAATGCAAGACCTCTTATTGCCATGCCGAAAACCAAGTGTGTAATTGTCCAGAGTACTCAGAAATCGATGTAGTAAATGAAGTATGTCTTGCCAGACAAGGTAAGATTTCAAGGTATAATTGTTATATTGTGTACCAGGATGAATATTTTATTATTTAAAAAGTAAAGTTTTGATTTAAGTTAAAGAGTATCATCTCATAGGCAAAATGTATTGATAACTGCGTTTGGATAACTGCAAGGTCAGATTTAAAATGTTGCAGTTTATAGTTTACTTTAATTACAAAATGTCTGGTGCTACAAAGTGAAAGTAAAAGAGAGACCGTGAGTCATGTGTCATTTTAGGTGCTAAACCGTTAAAGACACTGCTGAGTGGACAAAGGCGTTCAAATTAAATATATCAGTATTCAATCTTTTTCAGCAAAATCGCAGCAAGAACAACAACAACAGTGGTTGGTCCCCGTCCTCCTGCTCATCATCATAATCATAATAATACTTATTGCTGCCATCGTTATCTTCGCTAAAAGGAAGGGATACATTCTGTAATTAATATTATTTTGATACTTATTTATGGTTATCTCTGTTACATTCTTTAACGTAAAGATGAAATAATATCTCTCACTTGAATACGTTGAAAAAGGAATGTAATGTGTTGAACTGTGAGACCTTTTCCTCACAAAAAATTACTATATACTAGTATTTAGCATAAGTAAATACTGTGATACTTTGATTTACTATGAAACTTTACCTTAGGACTTTTTAAAAAACATTATGCTTCAAAGTCTCGTAATTTCAATACCCAAGATGTAGAATGAGGAGATAGATTATGAATATACACGTAATATTTCCATTTAATATCAGAAATGTGCATGTATAAATTGATAACATAAAGTATAAAAATCTGAAATTTATAGTAAATATGCCTTGATAGTAAACTATAGTTAACAATAGTAAACTTAAGTACAAATGTAATATTTATCTTGTTAGGGTTTGCGTAAGCGCAGTTTCGTTTTCTTCTACTACATTAGACATTGGTAAATTTTTCTAGACAGTGACCTCACATAACAGCTTGTGTTAATTGCAAGTAGACAACGTAGTCTAAATAAGGGACTGTTTTTACAAAGATCGTTCAATTTACTATGAATCTGCCATTTCCAAATCATATTTTATGAACATCTTTTAGTTTATCTTTAGAACACTAGCCAAAGTGCAGTACGGCAGTTATGGTTAAAATAGTTTATTTGCAAAGAATTTTGGGTACCAACTATAAAAAAATAATCTATTGGATGAATGTTGAGCAGTTAGATTTTTTCTCTTGCTCCGGGGTTGGTTTAAGAGCACATTATTACACATTATGTAGAATAATTTGAAAAGGTTAGAGATAACTTTATAAAATAAAAGAGAACTTTAAGACTTAAAATCATACACAACCAATCCTGCTTTACAGATGGCAGACAGGAAATGATGCTACTTTTACGTATTCCGAGCTAATGTCAGCGTCCAATCCTTTGTATGGGTAAGGTAATCTTTCACCAAAATTTTTTTTCTGAAAAATTTATGTTATCTTTATTTACTTTTTAAATCTTTTATTCATGTACTTGTAAAAATAAGAGTGCAAAATGTGTTCGAATTTGTAATTGGTAGCTTAATGTTTTCGAAAAGAATAAAAAAAAAGAGCATATGCCTTGTAAATTTGTAGTGGACATTGGCTAGTAAATGGGTTTTTTTTTAATGAATGAAATTTAAAATTGTGTTTAAGGATGATGTTTACTCAGATGACAAAAAAATCCCACTAATAAAATTTAAAAACTTCCTATTGTATACATGTATATGATTGTAGACTTATTATTCACTTTCAAATAGCTAATGCCATTGACCTTCTTTTCATGTTAGTTGCACCTGGTACATGTATTTCTGGGAAAATACCTAAATTTTTACACTATGACCAATATTTTCTTTATTAACAAAATAAAACAAGTAACAAAACTGTTTGGGCAATGAAATACATGTATGATAAAATAAAAATTGGATTTGTTTTACTAAATAATCATAAACAATTAGAATTTGAACCAGAAACTTCTAAATCATTAACGCCTGAATTTCCTCTGTCAGTTTTCTAATATTTAATTTTTCTTTAATAATGATACAAACTCTAAACTATTTATAGCCCCGGTTTACTTTAATTTGTTGCCCTTATTCTGCTTGTATAAAACTTATATGAGGTCAATGATCAATTTTTTTTAGATATGTTGTCTTGTATGGTTTATGATCATATTTTCAAAATTCTTCATTGCTTGCCATTTCATAAAACATGAGCTTTAATACACATAATATTTGCAAAATGGTGTTAAAACACATAGAATTTTAACTGTATGATTGATATATCAAGAAAAAAAGTTGTGTAGGAAAAAAAGGAAACATTGAAATTTAGTCCATATTTCCTCTGCATCAACAAAAACTTTACTTCTTTTACATGTTTTCTTCAAATAACAAAATACTAAGTTTTAAATTGATATTGAGTTATAAAATGGTTATAAAATTCGCCCATTTAGAACAATTTTTGATTTAACATATTGTACTTTACACATTCCATCTCTCAACTTAATAGCTTTCAAGTATATTTATATAAAAATAAACTTGTAGGATCATGGTCACAAAAAAATTATCACCATTAAAAAAGCTTTTGATTCGCTGAGGAGTTTTGAGCTCGATTTACTATGAATTGCTTCTGAATGAAACTAATGAAATTGCTGGTTTCAGATTTAATACAGACGACAAGAGTTCGCATCGAGGCTCTGTAATTTCTATAAATCAAGCAGGGGAAGGTAACCACAGGTAATTATAGCTTAAAGGGACTTACTTCTCTCTGCATGATGCAATATTCAGCGCAAATTTGTCAATTTAGAGGAATAAAGTTTTATTTTGATATGTTTATAGAATACGTTTGAGTACTTTTGGAGATACCTATGAGAGTTTGTGTGATGATGTTCATTGGCCAGAAGAGGAATTTAGGGTAAACCAGTGTATATCTCATTTCTTTTGAAAGGAACTAATTTTTTCAATGTTTGTGTTTGAAACTTAACTTTGAAGTTTTGGTTTTTCTGGTTTAGAATATAGTAAGGTCCTGCGAGCAGAGACCATCAGACATTGGAGCAGCCTCACAGAATAGACATAAAAACAGAAATAGAGATGTCTTGCCATGTAAATTTCACCTTTTCTCAATGTTTAGAAGAAATTTAATTCAAATTTACTCCTCGAAAAGAGCATCTATTTATACTTTCAAAACAAATGTCATTTTATTCTTGAAAAAAAAAAACAATGAGTCATTTTCCAGTTGATTCAAATGGAGATTTCATTAATAAGAATAAAAATAAAATAATTTGTTATATTAAAAAGTGGCATGTAAATTATATTCTGTATTTAATGTTACACTTTTTTTAGATGACTACAACAGATTAAGGGAATCTGGTACAACCAGTGTGAATGACTACATTAACGCAAGTGTTATAGAGGTAAGAAAAACTTGTAAAGCAACGGTGCTACTAACTGACAATCAAGATCAATCATGATTTTAACACATGTTATTTTGTATTTATCAGGGTCTACATAGTCACTACCCTTACTATATCGTGACACAGTATCCACTCATTTCAACTCAAAATGATTTTTGGGAAATGGTGTGGAAGCAAAGAGTAGCTTCCATCATTAGTCTTGTTTCCAGCAGCGAAAAGGTATTTTTTTCTACACTACTACTTGTCTAGTTCTATCAATTTACTTTTTTTCAATTCCATATAAGGGCTTAATTTGCTTTCATGAAAAAAGATATGTTGAAGTAAAAAAAAAAAGAATATTTATTTACAATTTTTTTCACACATACAAATAATTTTTTACTTGTATATTTACTTGCAAATAGCTAATTTCTTACTCAGCATATATAAAGGGCCAGTGGTTTTCTTTGCGCTTGCTTTATCGTAGAGTTAGTTGTCACAACTTCAAACCTGCTCTTTATAATAAATGATTAAATCTGATATTCTTCCTTTTTTACGTATATTGTAGGAAGTATACTTTCCAACAAGAACTGGCATGACAAGAAGCTTCGGGAAAATCAAGGTGCAAACACTGTCAACATTAACTGTTCACAGGTGTACATTCCGATGCTTAAAAATTGTGAAGGTGAGGGAATTCTGTTCTCAGTGTTTGAATTTTTAGGGTAAAATGTATCATTAATCTTCTTTCCTACATTTCAAGCTCATATATTGTATTAATCGGAGCATAACCAATTCTCTTTTACTTCAGGGGTCCAAGAGCCACACAGTAAACCACTTTCAGTCATCATTTCTATCCAATTTCACGAAAGATGAGTGTTCAGATCTTTTGAATCTCATTAATCTTGTACATTCCAATTCTGAAGAGGGATATGACAGTAGACCACTTGTCATACACTGCCTGTACGTTCATGTTTTTTTCTTTTACTTTTGAATCAAATTACTGCTTTTATTTCTGTCTCTCTGAATGTATTAATTCAAGCTAATTAAATGTTAATCTAAGTAATGAATATATATTTTAATCAGGAATGGAACTGGTAAATCTGGTATCTTTGTTGCCATGGACTATCTTATACAGCTCATTAGAAATGGGGATACGCATGTCGATATTTACAACCTCACGCACGTCCTGATCACAAACAGGGAGAAGTTAATAGAAAACGAGGTAAATTATAATAAACTATAAGCTTATAGTCTGTTGAAGTTTTGTTAACATGATATCTACATTTATATGTGTTATGTGAAATATTAATTAAAATTAAACTAATATATCTTTAAAAAATTCTTAAGCAGATTGACGAGGCACTTTCTCTTTCGTCTCAATATAAAAAAAATCTTTTAAGAAATAAATTATTTCAAAATTAACTATAATACTTTCGTATAAAAATGGATTAAAAAGTGAGAAATGTATCGTATATATACTGAGGGTTGTTTTGGTAAATTTATAGTCACAATACCAGTTCCTGTATGACTGTGTAGAATTTTATTTGGACCACGAAAAGAAAAGTCCACCTCCTAAAATACCAGAGCCTTATCCTACAGAAGAGGAAGGTATATATACAGCATATAATACCTTTTTTGTATAAAAAAAAAACTCATTTGAAACAAAATATAAAATTAAATTTGTTAGAATAGAGAACACAAAAACCAAACTGATATTTACATGTATTAGCAAAGATGTTAAATTTTATTTATGTCAATCAATTTTAAGATGTTAAATGTGCATGAATGATAAATTGGTGTACATTTTAATAGTGTAGCAATAGAGAACATAACAAAAATATTATGAAAGGATTTTTAAGCAAAAAAAAAAAATGTGCACATATTTTTATTTTGTAAATATTTTACTGATAAATATGATCTTTACTATACGGATGTTGATACTGGATAACTAATTCAGATGTAAGAAATGACTTCTCCTTTTCAATTCATATTAATGTAGAATGTAACTTCCAGTGCGTTCTAAATAAATAACTGCTTTGTTTAGTTATCACCGTATTAGTTTTTTTTCTTGTAGATGTTGGACTTATAGAGCTGTCCCCTACTGACAAGACGACATTTTTTACAAAGAAGTACTGAGAAATAAAGACTTTATCTTCCAGCATGTTAATCAAAGTTCATGGAATGCGTACATCTACACCCTAATTAAATAAAGCTACAGCAGAAGCGAATTTTAAAAATTGAGGAACCCTTTTTCAGAAATTACGTAATTTAAATACTAAAATACCAAAATTATGCATTAAAGAAATAAAATCAACCCTCTTGTCCTAAATTCACACAATTTATCTTTGCAAACTGAGAAACTTATTACCTATGCTTTGATAGTGTTTTGATGTTAATATTGAAGAATTGCCGTATTTTATTTAGAATATTTTGGAAGGCTTTCTTAATGATTCGTACTTCAAAAAATAGTTATAGAATTAAAGGGAATGTAACAAAGATTTTGATACGAATGATTCATAACCAACTATTTTAATACCAGCAGAGTTACGTTTTAGTCACTCTGTATAGCACATTATTTCATAATTTCAGGTCGATATGATTTTTTAAATTGCTCTTGGAGTCTTCAAGATTTTTTAGTTGGATCTGTTTCTGAAATCTGTACGAAAACATTTATATTAATCGATGTATTAAATAATTAATTGATAATGATAATGATAATTATAATTAAATAATTAATTGAGAATTTTATTTGGACCACGAAAAGAAAAGTCCACCTCCTAAAATACCAGAGCCTAATCCCATAGAAGAGGAAGTTTTGGAAAATGAGTTCTACCCTACATGAAAGTTCCTTGGACTGTTTTTATGCAGTAAAATGAGTGTGTGTAAGGTTACATGAAGTGAACATTGAGTATATGTTGCCATTTTGTAAAAAAAAATATTATCCCTTGAATATGAAACTCGAAAGAAGTATTATGTATTTTAGAATGTATTTCTGTACAAAAAATGGTTAACATGCAATTTTTTGCATTGATTATTGTATGATATAATTCAAAATGATAATCTATTGTTTAAGCTTTTTTAACGAATGTAATAGCTTTCTTCATGTTCTTTAAATGTGTTTTGCATGTCTTCCCAATATATTTTGAGAAATATATATGCTGATGTATGAAATATACACCTAAGAACTTCATTGGTGTTTGTGTTTTGTCCCTCTGTAAACATTGATCCTATATCTTGTAGTGAATATAATTTAATGGAAGTTAATGTAATTATCGCTGTTCATTTTAAGAACTCAGGTGACATAAGGTTTTCATGCGTTAACATTTTTACCTTTTTTAGCTTCTTCTTTGTAACTGCTCAACCAAATTTAACTAATTTTGGTATAGCATCCATGGGCGGCATCTATGAGGGACACATAATGTGAATTGTTGGATATCTACCACCATGGGACCTGAGCGGTGGTACCAAAACCAATCAAAGGAACGCTATCATCAAAGAGCGTCTTTACACCAGGATCCAAGGGGCATTTTAATAATAAACCCTCAACCAATATTATGAAATTTATGCCCCCCCCCCCCCCCTGCTTTATTGGTCATGTTCTTATTCTTAACACTTTTCAACACCTCACAACTACTTTGATCAGACTCGAGTTATGTGTCATTTACATAAGTTTATTCAGAATATATAACTTTGGGCATTACAGCCCATCAGTTTACAAAAATAACATATAATGACATATATTACAAAATTTTCAGACTCTCGATGAGCCTTAATTGGGGGGGGGGGGGGATACATAAAATACCACTAAGGGTCATTATAATAATTTATACTTGTTTATATTTTGAAAATTATTCAAGGGACAAAGGAGATGAATTTGTCAAGAGCCTCTTTTGTTTGTTAATTTTAAAATACTTGGAAGCCAGAACGGGGAATTCCTATTTATATCTATATAACTTACGTACATTTAAAATATACATCTTTCAGCTCTTGAAAGGGTCCCTGATATCTTTGTTGTGTATTTCTGTTCGTGAATGGGTTGAGAAGCATTTTACTATATGCAATGTCGGTTTGGATTTACGCAGGTGTTATTTTATTCCTTCAGACATTATATCAAATCAAAGGTTAGTTATTCTTTCCTTTTTGGTTGTTTTTGTTTGTTTGTAAAACCACACTGTATACAAATTAAAGTTAGGAATTTGTTGAATTTGACTTAAAAACCCATTCATTTAGAAGATCTTATATGTTTGCATGACATATCACGCTGAATATGCCCTATGTAGTTATCTGCAATTAATTTTTTCATCTCTCTTACGGCATGCACGGATCTGAGGAGGAGAAATGGGGTTGTCCGAATCCCCCTTTCAGACTGATGAAATTTATAAAGTAAAATGACCCCAAAAATGACAAATGACCTTGATCCCCCTCAATGAGTTTTAAAGCTTTAAAGAAGAAATTTTTGAGTCGAATTTAAGTGGGTGTAGAACCCCCCCCCCCTGCAGAAAAAAAAATCCTGGATCCGCGTTTGTATAATGAGTAAAGCATGAGTCTCTTGATCATCTTTATATATAGACCTTTAAATGTCCTGAATGGTTCCACAGAGTGATTTTTGATAAAAGGTAAAGCACAAGTCCCTAAATTGATCATCTTTACATATAAAACAACTGGGCAGCCCCCTATAGATAGATTTTCATTTGTCCTGTATGGTTCCACAGAGTGATTTTTAATAAAGGGTAAAGCACGAGTTACTTGATCATCATTAAATATAGAACAACATCGCATCGGGGCCCACTAGTCCGAAGGTTCATTAGTCCGACGACCCACTAGTCCGAAGGTTCACAAGTCCGACGGCCCACTAGTCCGAAGACCCACAAGTCCGAAGGTTCATTAGTCCGATTAAAAAAAAAGCTACGAACTTTTTATTTACATATCATAACAAGGAGCGATAAATATAGCGTTTTATTGAACATATACCTTTGTTGATTTCATTATAGAATATGGTTACAGGTGAAGTTCGCCCAGTTATATATCGATATGTAATTTTCTATTATTTGTTGAGGTTTTCAAATGCCGTTAACTCTGAATTGAATATAAGGTAAATAATTTTCATACACATTTTACTAAAATTGAAGCATATGCTCTAGCGGAAAAAAGACTAAAGCTTAATAAAACTGAACTGTAGTTACATTATCTTGTGCCTTTTTCGCTCGAGGGGAGGACGCTCACACACATATACAAAAAGCAGCCACCCCCACCCCCACCCCACCCCCACCCAGCACAAGCACATGCACAAGAATTGCACAAATATTTTACGTAGTGCACATAAGAACAGGAATACTGCAATGAATTCTTCTAAGTCTTAAAGCACTATAGATTTTATAAATTTCATCTAATCAGGTCATGGTACTGTAAGTCATATAATAAATTATTTAGATATTGGTCAAAAAACGTCATTGATCTTCGAGATTTATACAAAATCACGATTGCACAATGCATGCACAGATTATTATAACTTAAAAATAAAATCTATTTTATTTATGTTTCCCTTGGAATTTATGTCTCCCCTTCCAGGGGAGACATATTGTTTTTGTAGATTTTCTTATTCTTCTAATTAAGGTCTTCAGTCTTCACGGAAGACCTTATAGTGATTATGCTGTTTCTTCTTCTTCTTATTATTTTTCTGACCTTGTAATTTTGTGCACGCGATTTCTCAAAGACTATTGTGTGGATTTAGATGAAATTTCTAGGAACTGTGTGTCGTTAGCTTCAGTTATTTTATCCGGGAGGAAATTGGAAAATTTACTTACGGTTCCAAGTTACGGACCATTTTTTGATTTCAAAATGAGATTTTGTCGACGGATAATCTGAAGGGCTGAAGATTTTAATATCAAACTTTCAGGGATTATAGATCGTGATAGATACTAGCCAGATCGTGATTTTTTGTTCGTCGTCGGAACTTCCGTTCGTCACCAGACACGATTAAGGAAGCTCTAAACACTGCACACTAAAGAGTTCTACTTGTAGGGTAATTTTATGCAGTTAGAGTGATCTACCCTTAGAAGTAAAATAGAAAAAAAAATGGCTATTTACTATTAATTACACGATTTATAATAGATTAAAATATTCTTAGCATTATATCAGAACTAGAATAAGTAATTGAATCCATTATTTCCATTGATTTTCCCACTGTAAGTAAACAACATTGATATCTGTTCATGAATAGTCCATTGTCTTTGAACATTTTTCCTGCAGAAATAAGGCAGGTACCCTATGTTGAGAATGAAGGAAATAGTCTCAGTAAACACACCTTTGTATGATTTTTTTTTCTCCAAGCCCAAAAAGCACTTTTTGTTAGTGTTTAGAGCTTCCTTAAATGAAGTCAAATTTTTCAATTTCTATGTTTCTCAATTTTTTTAATGAAATTCAAAGGAACAATAGAAATTCTTTTCAAAATGCTTAATATATGATTTGTTTGAAAAACGATAAATCCATACTCGAAATATTCCTCTGTTTTCAACACTGGATTGAAATGCTTTTTAGACTGATTGATTGATTGATTGTATGTTGTTTAACGTCCCTCTCGAGAATTTTTCACTCATATGGAGACGCCACCATTTGCCGGTGGAGAGCTGCAAATTTTGTCCTATACTCGGCACTTACGGCCATTGAGCAGTGAGGGATCTTTTTCGTGCCAGCACCTACTGCGACACGGGACCTCGGTTTATACGGTCTCATCCGAAGGACCGGTCTCCACGTCCCACAGTGGGATTCGAACCCGCGACGTTAGGATAAACTCCTTACTTCGCGACTCTAGAGCAGACGCTCTAACCACTGCGCCACGCGGGCGACAAAAAAAGAAATGCTTTTTAGAAGAAGAATTTTAATCAAATGTTTTCACAGACGTCCGCGTGGAATTAATCGCGGACGTCTGAAAAAACATTAAAGGAAAATAACTGTTTTCTTCTCAGACGTCCTAACTGAATTGATCGCAAACGTCTAGGAAAACATTATATTGAATTGAATGTTTTCTCCGACGTCCGCATTGAGTTTATTGCTGACGTTTTAGTAAACATTGGATTGAAATTCTTCTTTGCAGTTGAATTTCAATCCACCTTGGCTATTCTCTTAGGCAAAATTTTAAAGATTCATCAAATGGACAATAAATATTTTAATTTCAGTATTTTAAAAAAAATAATAAAATAAGACTTTTTTATCCAATTTCTGAAAAGAAATCAATAATTTTCATAGGAGTAATTTGACAATTAAGGACAGGAGAGATGGCGTTTTTGGAAATGAATAAACTGTTTACGAAAATACAATTACTCTGTCCTGCAAAGGCAATAAAATAAGTAATCTGACATTGAATTATGGGCCTTCAGTCAACTGATCTGTGAGTACCTGTCAGAAATTCCAAATCTTTGCTAGCAAAGATGAAAAATCTAGTTTATGAGTATCCCTCCTTCTCGTTTTGTTTAAACAATAAAATATGTTCCTGGTCATCTCAGAAAAAAATATTTTACCTGCAATGACATAAAATGAACTTTGAACAATGATTTTGATCCAATGTTTTCTCAAACGTCTGCGTTGAATTCTATCAACCTATTTCATTGTGATATTTTCCTTAATAAGTATTTCTTTTAAAGTGCGCATTTCCTGTTCGTGTCACTATTACTGGCATATACTCTTATTCTTCTTTTTCTTCTAAATTTTGTCCGGGTTATAACTTAAATACCCTTTGACATTAAGAATTCAAGCTAGGAACAAAGATAGATGACATTAAGAAGGAGTGCACACCACCAAAACTTTTGACCATGACCAAGTCCAAGCCATAACCTGAGAACAATTTGATATTAGGATTTCAAAGTTGGAACATAGTAAGAAGACATTAATACAAGATGAACTGCACCAACATTTTGACATTGACCCCTTTCTTCATCAAGATCAAATTGAGAAAACACGACTAGACCATAACTTAAGAACCCTTTGACATTAAGACTTCAAACTTGGAACATGGAGGTAAAGGGGAAGGATGAATGCCATTTTTTTCCCACCAGACCAGACAATAATTTAAGATTCTTTTGAAATAAAAACTTGAAATTTTGTACACGGATCGAGAAATTTGAACTGATTTGCACTGCATTATTATTTTCTACCCTG